GCTTCTAACTGACTGGATATAAATTGGGAATCTCATGAGCCCCTCTTTGGGTTCGGTTAATTTGCCAGAGTGGCTCACAGAACTCAGGGAATCACATTTATTAGTTTATTATAAAGGATATACAGTTGAAGAGATACACATGGCAAGGTATGCCCTCCCTGGGAACACCACTCTCCAGGAACCTCCTTTTGTTCCTGTCCAGAAGTTCTTCGAACCCTCTCCTCTTGGGCCTTTTATGGAGACTTCATTAGATGGGCATGACTGACACACATGTAGAAATGTGACTGGAGAAAAAATATATGATCTAATATTAATAGACTGGGGAAACTCAGCAAGGCCTGTCTGTTCAGATTCTTCCCGGCCTCTCTGGGTAGCATTCCTTCCTCCAGGGTATGGGGTAGGACCTCTTCTGAAATGAAAGTCTTATGACCCATAATCAGAAAGGCAGGGGAAGATGAGAGTCCTGCTTTGGGCAGGTGAAAGTCAGAGAGAGATTCTGTTTTCTGAGGCTTGCTTCAAGAGCTCCAACATTATAACAAAAGCTAGGGGAGTTATGAGCTAGGAACCATGGACAAAAACTAACATACATATATCATAGTATCACAGATACTCAACCTGTACTGCTGGCATAAGAATAAATTAGTACAATTTTATGAAAGCAATAGGTATTAAAAGCTTTAAAAACACTTATCCTTAAAAGAACTGACCACAAAATACAAAAATAGCCAATTGGCACATAAAAATAGACTCACCATCATTAGTCATGGGGAAATGTAAATTAAAATGCACATCACCAGGGTAAGAGAACCAATACTGAATCTAGCTGATAGACAAACCTCAAGTATAAATTCAGGGAAAAGAGAAAGAGAAAATAATATATAACATCATAGCATTCACGAAAAATGTCAACCTTTTACTCTGAAATACTTTTAGACTTACAGAAAATTGCAAAAATGGTCGAGTTCTCCTACTCCCAGTTTCCTGATGTTAACATCTTACTTAACATAATTATCAAAATTTAAAAATGAACGTTGGTATATTATTAACTACATACTTTACTCCCCCCAATCTGTGGCATTTCCTCGGTTGTTCCTTGTTTTTTATGACCATGACACTTTTTTTTTTTTTTTTTGAGACAAAGTCTCACTCTTGTTCCCCAGGCTGGAGTGCAATGGTGCTATCTCAGCTCACCACAACCTTCACCTCCTGGGCTCAAGCGACTCTTCCGCCTCAGACTCCCGAGTAGCTGGGATTACAGGCGCCTGCCACCTTGCCCAGCTAATTTTTGTATTTTTAGTAGAGACGGGTTTTCACCATGTTGGCGAGGCTGGTCTCGAACTCCTGACCTCAGGTGATCTGCCTGCCTCAGCCTCCCAAAGTGCTGGGATTATAGGAGTGAGCCACTGCGCCCGGCCCGGCCAACCACGACACTTTTAAAGAGTATTGCTCAGTTGGTTTTTGTTTGTTTGTTTGTTTGTTTAGACAGAGTCTCATTCTGTCACCCAGGCTGGAATGCAGTGGAGCCATCTTGGCTCACTGCAAGCTCTGCCTCCCAGGTTCATGCCATTCTCCCGCCTCAGTCTCCTGAGTAGCTGGAACCACAGGCGTCTGCCACCACGGCCAGTTAAATTTTTTTTTTTTTTTTTTTTTTTTGTATTTTTAGTAGAGACAGGGTTTCACCACCTTAGCCAAGATGGTCTCAATCTCCTGACCTTGTGATCCGCGCCTCGGCCTCCCAAAGTGCTAGGATTACAGGCGTAAGCCACCTCACCTGGCCTGGACAGTTATTTTGAGAATGCCTCTTAATTTGGGTTTGTCTGATGTTTTCTCATGATTAAGATTATGCATTTTTGGCAAGAATATAATGGCAGTGATGGGGGGGAATGCATGCTGTCAATATATCTTATTACCTATTTAACCATGATCAGTGAAATGTTTTTTGCCACATTTGTCATTATAAAGTTGCTATTTTCCTTTTGTAACTTAAAAATATCAAAGATACTTTCAGACAGCAAACATTCTGTTTCTCTTCAATCTTTCAATCACTAAGCACCCATCAGTGGCTCTTGCCTGTAACAATTACTTTGTAGCATTCTGTGATTTTTCTACCTATTAATGTAAATTTCTTAAACACAAAAGAAAACTCAATCTAACAGATAAACATACAAAAAGGTACAAATGGTAGCTTGCAAGAACAAACCTTACATGCTTGAGAGTGGATGCCAACTATTATTTAACATTTTTAGTAATCTGGAAGAAGAACTACAAAGCAGTGGCTCCCAAAATTAGCTATACATTAAAATCACCTGGGAACTTTTACTTTTTTTTTTTTTTTTGAGACAGAGTCTCGCTCTGTCGCCCAGGCTGGAGTGCAGTGGCACAATCTCGGTTCACTGCAATCTCCGCCTCCCAGGTTCAGGCCATTCTCCTGCCTCAGCCTCCGCCTCCCGAGTAGCTGGGATTACACATGTGCGTACCACCCCGCCCAGCCTTTCTGTATTTTTAGTAAAGAAGGGGTTTTGCCATGTTGGTCAGGCTGCTTTAAATACTATTGATATTTGACTTCCACAACTGTATATACTAACTTAATCGGTATGGGTATGACCTGGGCATGGGTTTTTTTTTTTCTTTTGTTGTTGTTTCTGAGATAGAGTTTTGCTCTTGTTGCACAGGTGGGAGTGCAATGGCACAGTCTCGGCTCACTGCAACCTCTGTCTCCCGGGTTCAAGTGATTCTCATGCCTCAGTTTCCCAAGAAGCTGAGACTACAGGCGCATGCCACCACGCCCGGTTAATTTTTGTATTTTGAGTAGAGACCGGGTTTCACAATGTTGGCCAGGCTGGTCTCGAACTCCTGACCTCAGAAGATCCACCCACCTCGGCCTCCAAAAGTGCTGGGATTACAGGCATGAGCCACCGCGCTCAGCCTGGCATGGGGATTTTTGTTTTGTTTTGTTTTTTTTCCTAGACATAGTATCGGTCTGTCACCCAGGCTGGAGTGCAGTGGCGAGATCTCAGCTCACTGCAACCTCCACCTCCCAGATTCAAGCGATTCCTCTGCCTCAGCCTCCCCAGTAGCGGGGACTACATGCGCGTGCCACCACGCCCGGCTAATTTTTTGTATTTTTAGTAGAGACAGGGTTTCACCGTGTTAAGTGAAATGGTCTCGATCAGGATGGTCTCTATCTCCTGACCTAGTGATCCGCCCGACTCTGCCCCCCAAAGTGCTGGGATTACAGGCGTGAGCCACCGCGCCCGGACGGAGATTTTTAAAAGCTCTCCAGGTAATTCCAATATGCAGCAGTTTGGGAGCCAAGATCTACATAAGACAATCGAAACACCAGCAATCCATGATTTAAATACGAGAAACACAGGTTATACAGTTGAGTGAGCACCCAACTGTATTCTAAAAAAAGTATTTCAAAAACTAACAACTACCTTGAAAAAAAACGTCTTACAACTGCAAAGCAGGAGGGTGAGTGGAAAGAAAAATAATTAAAATCACAGTAGTCAAAGCATTAATTCCTTATAAATTCCAATCGACCACTCACTCGCCTAAAACAGGCAGAATGTGATACTTTAAACATTTACCAGTTAAAACCATAACATGCCAGAAATCCCTTTACTTTGAAGGGGCTTTTCTGTAGTACTGGAACAGATTGAGCCAACGAATAGTATTGTCACAAAAAAAACACGGGCTAAGCACCATATTAGGTCCAAATACCAGAAGTGGAGCAGGAATAGGAAGCGGTGATTTAAGTTCAGCAAACCATTTACTAAGCACACAATCACAAAAACAGACATGCAGACTTTAACAGATAATAAAGCTTTTGAGGTTTTCCGTTTATGTATTTACTCGAGAAAGCAAGAGCTTTATTTATTTATTTTTGAGACGGAGTTTCGCTCTGTCGCCCGGGCTGGAGTGCAATGGCTCCATCTCGTCTCACTGAAACCTCCGCCTCCCGGGTTGAAGCGATTCTCCCATCTCAACCTCCCGAGTAGCTGGGGTTACAGGCGCGCGACGCCACGCCTGTATAAAAATACTAAAAATGCAAAAATGATTTTTGTATTTTTAATAGAGATGGCGTTTCATCATGTTGGCGAAACTCCAGGCTGGTCTCGAACTCCTGACCTGGGTGATCTGCCCGCCTCGGCCTCCCAAAGTGCTGGGATTACAGGCGTTAGCCACCGCGACCGGCCAAGAGCTTTATAAAGATGGAAAACGAAGCAGACTTTCTGCCCAAGCCATGCTTTTGGATAAGGATTACACTACTTTGAAATCTTACGTATAGCACTTGGCCAACTATCAAACTGCACAAACCTTCACTAATTGCAATTATTCCCTTTAACATCTCGAGTTACCCCAATCCGCACAAAACAAGTTTAGTGCCCACCAGGTAATAATACATTCAGGAAAATAATTCCAAGACAGAGGTTTAAGAACTACAGAGAAAAACATACTTTTTTCTACAAGAAAAATCTTAGAGGACAGTACCAGGGCCTTATCTCTGTTAGCATGATTTATATTTCACGTAACGTTGGCCCAGTCACTGCTACATTATAAAACCAATAGCCAAGGCAACATAGAAAGTCTGAACACATTGACAGCGAACGGTTCTAAATTTTCTTACCAAGGTAACAAACACCTGGCAAAACTGCCAGCAGCGGGTGCCGCAAATGCTGGGCTCGGGGTCCACTGGAAGGAAAACGGAAGGGCTCTTGAATATCTTTTCGCCTTTCTGGGAGCAGGCCAGTGAGTTTCGAGAGAGATTTATTCGCTGTGACGACGGAGAAACCGAGAAGGGGTCGTAAAGCAGCTTGCCCGGGCAACCGCCCCCAGCAGCAAAAAGCCGAGAGCGTCACGCCCAGCTACGAAGCTGCCAGACTGAGGTCAGACAGCGCGCGCGGTATGAAGGGCCGTTGACGCGGCTGCGCACCGCGGCCCTTCCGCTTCCCGACCCGCCCATCCAGGCTCAACCTTCACCCGGGAGCCGCCACTTCCGCGGGCGCGTGCGCAGTGGCGGGCCGGGCGCGTGCGCAGCGCCGGCATCTTCCCAGCGCGAGCTGGTGCTCACGCTCCTCCTCCAGTTTCCCACCCCCGCTTGCCAGCAGCGGCCCGGTACCAACGGGTGGTCTCGCCGAGGGAGCTGTCGTGCCTCGTGGTCCCGGGACTGCAGTGGTGTGCGCTCTCGGCGCGTGGCGCTAGGCGTGGCGCTAGGCATGGCGATGGATCAAGTAAACGCGCTGTGCGAGCAGCTGGTGAAAGCGGTGACGGTCATGATGGACCCCAACTCCACCCAGCGGTACCGGCTGGAAGCCCTCAAGGTAGCTGGGATCCTGGCGTCCTGGGGCGATCCCGACACTCTCTCCCAGCCCCAGCAGCTCCGGTGCCGCCTGTAACTGGGGTAGTCTCCCGCCCACGCGGCCCCTGGACCTCCTTTTCCAACTCTTCGGGACCTTCCCTTCGCGGCCCTCCGCGCCTCTCCCAAACCCCTGCCTTCTCTACTCGCCGTTCCTGTCCTTTGCCTGGGACACTACGGTCCCTAGCTGCTTCTCATCTCGCCGCTGCTTCCCACAGCCTCTCCTCCCCCTGTCCTCTCTTTGCACTGTTGTTCGCAACACGACCCTCGCCCATTTTCGTTCCCCAAACCCGACATCCCCTCGCCTTCCCGAGGCGCACGTGTAGATCCCGCCCCCAACACTAGCTTCATTCTTTATGGTCTCCCTTGCACTAAACGTTTTCTTGCTGGCTCACTCCTCTGACCCGAACTGACCGAGCTCCAGCCCCTCTAGTACCCTTATGTTTATATCCTTTAACATCTCTCGCTAACTTTCGTTTGTGTCTTGGACATTTTCTGAGGAAATTCTCGCACCCCTACTTCTCCCATGTTTTTGAATGTGATATTTTTAGGCTATTTTGCGCAAAGATAATTTCTACCACTTACTTTGCATTTTAACAAGGGCACTTTGGTTTCCTGAAAGTAGTTTGCTTGAGACCCGAATGCTCTGCTCTTGGGACTGACGTATGTTGCAGTTTGAGGGTCCTAATACAATTCAAGCTTACTTACCCACAAAACAACGTGTGTGGGCTGTGAGAAATGGCCATTTAGGAGAAAATACTTGTGCTGTACATTTTTAAAGTGATGTTAACTTCAAAAAAGAGAGTGACCACCACTTGGAGGAAATGTTACAATACGTGTATGTATGCCACAGGGTTTGGAGTCAGAAACAGTTGGCTTCTATTAGTTTGGTTTTTATTATTTATATATATATATATATATTTTTTTTTTTTTTTTTTTTTTTGAGACGGAGTCTCGCTCTGTCCCCCGGGCTGGAGTGCAGTGGCCGGATCTCAGCTCACTGCAAGCTCCGCCTCCCGGGTTTACGCCATTCTCCTGCCTCAGCCTCCCGAGTAGCTGGGACTACAGGCGCCCGCCACCTCGCCCGGCTAGTTTTTTGTATTTTTTTTAGTAGAGACGGGGTTTCACCGTGTTAGCCAGGATGGTCTCGATCTCCTGACCTCGTGATCCGCCCGCCTCGGCCTCCCAGAGTGCTGGGATTACAGGCTTGAGCCACCGCGCCCGGCCTATTATTAATATTTAAAGTAGACACAAAAGTGGGGAGAATACGACAGTGATTCTGCATGTTCCTGTCACTTAAATTCAGCAGTTAAAGATTTTACCACATTTGCTTTTTGCACCGCCTGTCCTCTCTCCCTGCCTCGAAGGTTTTTAAAAGAAACCCTAGAAATTGTTATTTCACCCCTATGTACATCGGTGGATGTCTCTAACAAAAAATTTCTTATTCCTTTGGGTCCATTTTTTTCCAACACTAGTAGGGCTACTGTTGGCCACAGCATGGAAGAAATCTGGAACCATCACACTGGAAGAAATGTTTATCAATTCTTTACTGATAATATATATATGATATATATACATAAAATAGAGTGGACACCACTTGGAGGAAATGTATATATATAACATTTTATATTTTTTTATTTATATTTGTATATTAAATATATATTTTAAAAACAACTGTGCTTGGAGATCCATATAATATTGATTTAGGTTTTGCAACTTAAACATACAGCTTAGGTTGGAATTTCCTTTTGAGTTAGGGTCTCACTCTGGTTGTCCAGGGTGGCGTGCAGTGGTGAGATCTTGGCTCACTCCAGCCTTGACTTCCCGAGCTCAGGTGATTCTCCCACTACTTCAGCCTCCTGAGTAGTAGCTGGGACTATAGGCGCCTGCCACCATGCCCGACTAATTTTTAAAAATATTTTTAGGCTGGCATAGTGGCTCACACCTGTAATCCCAGCACTTTGGGAGGCTGAGGCAGGAGAATTACTTGAACCTGGGGGGCAGAGGTTGCAGTGAGCCGAGATCATGCCATTGCACTCCAGCCTGGGGGGCAGAGTGAGACTCCGTCTCAAAAAAAAAAAAAAATATATATATATATATTTAGTAGAGATGGGGTTTCACCATGTTGCCTAGGCTAGTCTCAAACTCCTAGACTCAAGTTGTCCACCCATCTTGGCCTCCCAGAGTCCTGGGACAGGTGTGGCCCTGGTTGGAGTTTCTTAAGATGAAATTCTTTAGTCCCTATTCTCTCAGCCCTCCAAAGGAAACACTAACTTTTCTTCTTTCAGTTTTGTGAAGAATTTAAAGAAAAGTGTCCTATCTGTGTCCCCTGTGGCTTGAGGTTGGCTGAGAAAACACAGATTGCCATCGTCAGACATTTTGGCCTTCAGATCCTGGAACACGTTGTCAAGTAAGGAGCTCTTGGACATTACCACTGAAGTCTGAGAGAACATATTTTTATATCTTATATAACCTATAGAGATGCTGTTTAGGTGAGTAGAGAAGAGCAGTCTCCAAGAAGAAAGGAATGATCCCCTAGATGTTATCAGAACCTCACAGGAGCTCTCATTCAAGATTTAACCTTTCTTTTCTTTAGTTTCTTCATCCATGTAAAGTGTGTGGTACATATTACCCATTCAACAATTATTACCTGCCATTTAGCCAATACTTACTGAGCTCTGACTATGTGCCAGTAGCCCTAGAAGCCTTTTTAGAGTAATGCAATGTATAGGTCAGTAAATCTCTCATTAGGCACTGGGGCTTTCTTTTTTCTCTCTCTCTTTCTGAGTTTGTGTGCTTTCTCTGGGTAGTACATCCAAAGTAGGATTATATGAGAATAACTGAAAACCCCTCCTAACTTGATTGTCCTACCCTCAACACCTGCCAGAAGAGGTAGCCTTCAAGACTTAGCCATAGTTTTTCTGGAATTATTTTGTAAGCCAGCACAGAAAATGAGTGATGTCAAAATTGCATTTCCTGAAAAGCAAGTACATTGCTTGCACTTGTTGGAGTACGTTGTTGGAGTTGACCTAGATGTATATTCAATTTTGGCCCATCAATAAAATCATGAGGAGAAACTGATGTGTGGTACAAATCTTGTGCAGATTCCAGCTAATGGACCACTGCATGTATAAAACCTTTTCCCAAGAATTTTTTTGTTAATATTTTGGTTAAACGTAGATCATTTTTGTCCATTTGTTGACGGGTACAAAATCAAAAGTATAATTTCGTAATGAAATCTCCAGTGGAATCAAATGTAGAAATCAGTGCTATTCTCTTGTAAAGGCAAGACTTCTAAAGTGGTTCTATTGACTTTATGCATTTTGGTGGCCAGGTTTCGGTGGAACGGCATGTCTCGATTGGAGAAGGTCTATCTGAAGAACAGTGTCATGGAGCTGATTGCAAATGTAAGGAACGGGTGGTTGGGAGACATGTTTCCAAGGTAGTTTAGGCAAAGCGTGACTTCTTCAATAGAGAGTTTGTGTAAAAATTCACTGGTTCTAAATAGGTCAGACAGCACAAGAAATCATAATTCAGGCCAGGCACAGTGACTCACAACTGTAATTCCAGCACTTTGGGAAGCCGAGGTAGGAGGATCACCTGCGTCTAAGAATTCGAGAGCAGCTTGGGCAATGCAGTGAGACCCCATCTCTACCAAAAATACAAAAACTGGCTGAGCGTGGTGGCCCATGCCTGTAGTCCCAGCTACTCAGGAGGCTGAGGTGGGAGGATTGCCTGAGCCCAGGAGGTCCAGGCTGTAGTGAGCTGCGATGGTGCCATGGCACTCCAACCTGTGCAACAGAGCAAGACTCTATCTCAAAAAAAAAAAAAAAACAGCATAATTCAGTATATGTCTCTTACTAGGTTTGATTAATCACTCTTATGCATTGACTTCTATTTTTTAAATTATAAAGACAGGGCAGAGAGGATTAAATATTTTCAACAAATCAGTAAGATTCTTAGATCTAAATCAGATTGAAACACTGTCTATTTTATTTTCTTTTATTCCGAACAACTGCTGTGTGATAATAGTGATGAAAAAGATGCAGAATTTTAAGTATGCGGGATGAATTTGTTTCAAGTATTAGAATATGACTTTTTCTTTTTTTTTTTTTTTTTGTTTGAGACAGGGTCTCTGTTGCTTAGGCTAGATTGCATTAGCATGATCATAGCTCACTACAGTGTTGAACTCCTGGGCTCAAGTGATCTTCTCGCTTTAGTCTACCAAGTAGCTGGGATTATAGGCATGTGGTACCATGCCCAGCTAATTTTATTTTTGTCTTTAAAGAGACAGGGTCTCACTATGTTTCCCAAGCTAGTCTGGTCTCAAACCCCTGGCCTCAAGCAATCCTCCCACCTTAGCTTTCCAAAATACTGAGATTACAGGTGTGATGACTGGATGACTGTCTCTTTAAACACAAAACAGAATATGTGACTTTAAACATGTTCAAAATTGTAGCCTTTTTTCTTTCTTGTTTTTTTTTTTAAATAAAAGACATGAAAGATGGAATCTGTATCTTCTAATACTTCTGCGTCTTCTAGTATTAGAACTATTGGTAAAATATTCATTTGCTCCTTCATACCCTTCCATTTTACCAGCTACTCACTATACTCCTTATTTCTATACTCTTCCTCCCTGGCCTTCTGCAAACTGAAACAGTCAATATGAGAATCTTTTCATTTTGTAAAGAATAATGATGTCATCGTAGCTCTCTATATGACAGCCTTTTTATTAGGTGATGCAACCCTCACTTAACCTTTAAGTGGAAGAATGATTAGTGAGAATGCAGGACAAGTGACTCAGGCATGAAGAACAGGTTCGTTTGTTCTGTTTGGTTTAAAAGTAGGCCTGCTGATAAATTTTGTACAACTCTACAGCCCGGCTTTTTTCTGGAATTCTGGAATCCCGTCTTGCATATCTCTTAATATCTCTTGTTCTTTTTCAGGGAACATTGAACATTTTGGAAGAAGAGAACCATATTAAAGATGCTCTGTCTCGAATTGTAGTAGAAATGATCAAGCGAGAGTGGCCACAGCATTGGCCTGACATGCTAATAGAATTGGACATTCTTTCCAAACAAGGGGTATGAAACACAGCTATATCAGTTTGGTATACTTTTCCTTGGAACAAACTTCAGGGTTGTTTGATTTTGTTTGTGGGTTTTTTTTTTGGCAACAGAAAATAGCCTTTGGATATACATAAAATGAAAAGATATTTTAATTTTTAACTAGCTTATTTCTGTTGGTGTAGGAAACACAGACAGAATTGGTGATGTTTATCCTTTTGCGACTGGCAGAGGATGTAGTGACTTTTCAGACACTTCCCCCTCAAAGAAGAAGGGACATCCAGCAAACATTAACCCAGAACATGGAAAGGATCTTCAGTTTTCTGCTTAACACACTTCAAGAAAATGTAAACAAGTACCAGCAAGTGGTAAGGGATACCCCTACCTATAAAATTTGTATTTTCCAATATGTTTTTGATTAATCTTACAGTAAGGAACTAGGGTGTCTAGGTCAGCAAAATGAAAGCCTATTTTATAAGCAAAAAAGTAAAAAACTAAGAAATGACAGAAAAGCTAGAGCTCATTTTCTTTCTTTTTTTTTTTTTTTTTTAAAAAAAAGGGATCTCGGCTTACTGCAGCCTCCACCTCCTGGGTTCAAGCAATTCTCCTGCTTCAACCTCCCAAGTAGCGGGGACTACAGGCATGTGCCACCACGCCCAGCTAATTTTTGTATTTTTAGTAGAGATGGAGTTTTGCCCTGTTAGCAAGGCTGGTCTCAAACTCCTGACCTCAGGTGGTCTACCTACCTTGCTCTCGCAAAGTGCTGGGATTACAGGTGTGAGCTACTGCGCCCAGCCCTAGGTGTTATTCTTATTTTCAGAAATTCCTTATGAAAATACTAATTTTTGAGGCCGGGTGTGGTGGCTCATGCCTGTAATCCTAGCACTTTGGGAGGCCAAGGCAGGTGGATCACAAGGTCAGGAGATCGAGACCATCCTGGCGAACATGGTGAAACCCCGTCTCTCCTAAAAATACAAAAAAATTAGCCGGCCGTGCTAGCGGTTGCCTGTAGTCCCAGCTACTCAGGAGGCTGAGGCGGGAGAATGGCATGAACCCAGGGGGCGGAGCTTACAGTGAGCCAGATTGCGCCACTGCACTCCAGCCTGGGTGACAGAGTGAGACTCCATCTCAAAAAAGAAAGAAAGAAAAAGAAGATACAATTTGTGTATTTAATTTTTTGGAGAGGAAGTCTCACTCTGTCACCCTGGCTGGACTGCAATGGCACAATCTCAGCTCACTGCAACCTCCGCCTCCTGGGTGCAAGCGATTATCCTGCCTTAGCCTCCCAAGTAGCTCAGATTACAGGCGCATGCCACCATGCCTATCTGATTTTTGTATTTTAGTAGAGATGGAGTTCACCATGTTGGTCAGGCTGGTCTTGAACTCCTGACCTCAAATAATCTACCTGCCTTGGTCTCCCAAAATGCTGGGATTGTAGGCGTAAGCCACCATGCCTGGCCTAATTTTATATGCTTGTAAGTTAACATTATGTGCCTTTGTATGGATTTCAAATATGAGAATAAAAATAAACCATATTTGTATATTCACTGAATAGCCACTATTTTAATGTATTTAACCTTGTGTGTGTGTGTGTGTGTGTATATATATATATATACACATATATATACACACACACACACACACATTTTTTGAGACAGAGTTTCACTTTTGTTGCCCAGGTTGGAGTGCCATCTCGGTTTACTGCAACCTCTGCCTCCCAGGTTCAAGTGGTTTTCCCACCTCAGCTTCCCAAGTAGTTGGGATTACAGGCATGTGCCACCACGCCTGGCTAATTTTTGTAATTTTAGTAGAGATGGGGTTTCACCATGTTGGCCAGGCTGGTCTCAAACTCCTGGCCTCAGGTGATCCACCTGCCTTGGCCTCCCAGACTGCTGGGATTTACAGGTGTGAGCCACCATGCTCAGCCAACATCCAGTATTTTTGAGTACATGGTTTTCATATACTTATGCCATACATACATGATCATAAATTGTATTCATTTAATTATGCTTCTGACCTGTTCTCCCTAGGGGAATGTCAGTTATGCGTTCTTAGTAAAGTTGTGTTATTTTCCAAGATTAAAAATTGCATATATTTAAGAATCATTATTCAAGGGCATTGATTGGCGGGGGGTAGAAAGTTATGTGGCCTTTTGCTCATTAAAAACACTGGATCTTTGTACTTCCTTTCAGAAGACAGATACTTCTCAGGAGTCAAAGGTAAGAGCTCTTTGTAAGTTCGAAGGAGACCTTTAAACCTTTCAAGTGAGGGGATACGTGCACCTAGTGGATGGTGACCTCAGCCTTGCTTCTGTTGTGTTGTTTTGGAGACAGGATCTTAGTCTGTTGCCTAGGCTGGAGTGCAGTTGTGTGGTCTCAGCTTACTGCACTCATGACCTCCCCAGCTCAAGTGATCCTCTCACCTCAACTTCATGAGTAGCTGGGAATATAGGTGCACACCACCATGCCCAGCTAATACTTTCTACAGAAACAGGGTCTCAGTGTGTTGCCCAGGCTGGTCTCAAACTCCTGGCTTCAAGTGATCCTCCAGCCTCGACCTCCCAAAGTGACTGTGGGCCACTGCGTCTGTCCTTTTTTTTTTTTGAGATGGAGTCTCGCTCTGTCACCCAGGCTGTAGTCCTGTGGTGCAACCTCAGCTCACTGCAAGCTCCGCCTCCCAGGTTCATGCCATTCTCCAATAGCTGGGACTGCAGGCGCCCGCCACCATGCCCGGCTAATTTTTTTGTATTTTTAATAGAGATGGGGTGTCACCATGTTAGCCAGGATGGTCTCGATCTAACCTCGTGATCTGCCTGCCTCAGCCTCCCAGAGTGCTGGGATTACAGGCATGAGCCACTGCGCCCGGCTTGTCCTTTGTTTTGTATTTGATCCCTGAGCTATAGTGGAAGGGAATTTTAAAAAAAAAACTTTTTTTTTTTTTGGACACAGGGTCTTACTTTGTTACCCAGGCTAGAGTATAGTGACTCATACATGGCTCATTGCAGCTTCAACCTCCAGGGTTCAAGTGAGCCTTACCTCAGCCTCATGAGTAGCTGGGACTATAGACACACACCATCATGCCTGACTAATTTTTGTATTTTTTTTAGTTTGGATTTTTTTTCTTTTTTTCTTTTTTTTTTAAATAGACACTACATTTTGCCATGTTGCCTAGGCTGGTCTTGAACTCCTGGGCTCAGTTGATCCACCCACCTTGGCTTCCCAAAGTGCTGGGATTACAGGTGTGTACCACTGCGCCCAGCCTTGGGAAGTAAAATGATAAGATTTGGAGTTTTGTAAAAAAGATAAAATGGCCACACATGCCACTAGGATCTTATCGATGGATATTGAGAATGCCATTGTTTGAGAAGTGATTGTGTTCCCTACCTGTGACTGACATTATACACTTAAAAAATAATTTTCTTAGAATTAGAAAATAGGAGTTCAGTTATAACCACAGGTACCTTTTACTGAGGACTTCATGGTCCAAAGTTCTTTCTTTTCTGGTAGGCGCAAGCAAACTGTCGAGTAGGAGTTGCAGCATTGAATACTCTAGCAGGCTATATTGACTGGGTGTCTATGAGTCACATCACTGCTGAAAACTGTAAACTGCTGGAGATACTGTGTTTGCTGTTGAATGAACAGGAACTTCAGTTGGGAGCTGCTGAGTGTCTTCTCATTGCAGTCAGCAGAAAAGTAAGTTACCACTTCAAACTGATTTATCCTCAGAGTCTCAGAAGTAGGCTGTGTATGTGTTTAATTGCATGTTGTTGCAGAAAGTCATTTAAAGGTTTGGGTTTTTTTCCTTGGGGCCAATTTACCGCCTGCTTCCAACCCCCCTGGACAGGAGTTTGCCAATATTCAAGGGATACTTTGGCAGAATATGGAGATTTGTCAGGCTACATGGTTCTCGAAACAGCCATGATACTTGGCAGTTTACAGTTAATAGATAAAAGTAAATGTTTAAGTTTAAAGCTCCCTTGATGAATGTCAAGGAATCTTGGATGGTGGCTACACTGGGTTTATATCTGTCTTTTTTTTTTTTTTTTTTTTAATTGAAACAGTCTTGCTCTGTCACCCAGGCTGGAGTGCAGTTGCATGATGTTGGCTCACTGCAACGTCCGCCTCCCGGGTTCAGGCGATTGTCTCAGCTCTGCCTCCCAAGTAGCTGGGACTATAGGCACATGCCACCATGCCTGACTAATTTTTGTATTTTTCAGTAGAGACGGGGCTTCGCCACGTTAGTCAGGCTGGTCTCGAACTCCTGACCTCAAGTGATCTGCTCTCCTCAGCCTCTTAAAGTGCTGGGATTACAGGCGTGAGCCACCGCGCCCAGCCTATATCTGTCTTGGCTAACCAATGGAACCCTGACTCTTTTCTCCATGGGAATATTATCTACAAATGTAATTTACTTTGCTGTCATATCAGCATTATTGCCCAACACATTTATTTGTTTATTTATTTATTTGTTGAGACAGAGTCTTGTTCTGTTGTCTAGGCTGGAGTGCAGTGGCGCAATCTTGGCTTACTGCAACCTCTGCCTCCTGGGTTCAAGCAATTCTCCTGCCTCAGCCTCCTGAGTAGCTGGGATTACAGGTGTGTGCCACCACACCCAGCTAATTTTTGTATTTTTTTTTTTTTTTTTTTTTTTTTTTTTGAGACGGAGTCTCGCTCTGTCGCCCAGGCTGGAGTGCAGTGGCCGGATCTCAGCTCACTGCAAGCTCCGCCTCCCGGGTTTACACCATTCTCCTGCCTCAGCCTCCCGAGTAGCTGGGACTACAGGCGCCCGCCACCTTGCCCGGCTAGTTTTTTGTATTTTTTTTAGTAGAGACGGGGTTTCACCGTGTTAGCCTGGATGGTCTCGATCTCCTGACCTCGTGATCCGCCCGTCTCAGCCTCCCAAAGTGCTGGGATTACAGGCTTGAGCCACCGCGCCCGGCCTAATTTTTGTATTGTTTAGTAGAGACGGGGTTTCACTATGTTGGCCAGGCTGGTCTCGAACTTTTGACCTCAAGTGATCCACCTGCTTTGGCCTCCCAAAGCGCTAGGATTACAGGTATGAGCCACAGCGCCTGGCCTGATTTTTGTATCTTTAGTAGACATGGGGTTTCACCATGTTTGCCAGGCTGGTCTTGAACTCCTGATCTCAGGTGATCCGCCTGCCTCGTCCTCCCAAAGTGCTGGGATTACAGGCATGAGCCACCGCGCTTGGCCTGCCTGACACATTTAAAAATGTAAGTTTATGCTTCTTCACTAGATTGATAGTTTCGAGAAAAAATATGTAAGTTTATCCAGATTTCGTTTTAAAGAATTGGGCTTCTTTCTTAGTGTTTCACTAAACCCTGCGGTATATAAGAAATTATGAGGCCGGGCGCGGTGGCTCAAGCCTGTAATCCCAGCACTTTGGGAGGCCGAGACGGGCGAATCACGAGGTCAGGAGATCGAGACCATCCTGGCTGACACGGTGAAACCCCGTCTCTACTAAAAAATACAAAAAACTAGCCGGGCGAGGTGGCGGCGCCTGTAGTCCCAGCTACTCGGGAGGCTGAGGCAGGAGAATGGCGTAAACCCGGGAGGCGGAGCTTGCAGTGAGCTGAGATCCGGCCACTGCACTTCAGCCTGGGCGGCAGAGCGAGACTCCGTCTCAAAAAAAAAAAAAGAAATTATGAAGTCGATTTATTTGATTGTATGCTTATAGAAGATGTCGGTACTTTGAAGTATAGTTTATATGACTGTGTTTCCCTAAAACTGGGTCTAGGGCAAGTTGGAAGACCGGAAGCCCTTGATGGTCTTATTTGGAGATGTTGCCATGCATTATATACTCTCCGCTGCACAGTGAGTATCTTTACTTTTCAATGTGTTTTCTAATTTCTTTGTCATTTTTCTATTTTATTTGGATATATCTGAAGTTTTTTTTTTTTTTTTTTTGAGATAGATCTCACTCTGTTACCCAGGCTGGAGTGCAGTGGCACAATCTCGGCTCATCACAACCCCTGTCTCCTGGGATCAAGCAATTCTCTTGCCTCAGCCTCCTGAGTAGCTGGGATTACAGGTGCACCACCATGCCTGGTGAATTTTTCTGTTTTTAGTAGAGAGAGGGTTTTGCCATGTTGACCACGCTGGTCTCAAACTCCTGACCTCAGGTGGTCTACCTGTCTCAGTCTCCCAAAGTGCTGGGATTACAGGCGTGAGCCCCTATGCCCACCTTAAGTTCTTATTTAAATGGTAGCTGTCAATTGACAGTGTTTTTGGATAAGAAAATGAGGCATTGGCCGCATGTGGTGACTAACACCTGTAATCCCAGCACTTTGGGAGGCCAAGGCAGGTGGATCACTTGAGGCCAGGAGTTTGAGACCAGCCTGGCCAACATGGTGAAACCCCATCTTTACTAAAAATACAAAAATTAGTCAGGCGTGGTGGCACACGCCTGTAATTCCAGCTACTCAGGAGGCTGAGGCAGGAGAATATCTTGAACCTGGGAGGCAGAGGTTGCTGTGAGCCAAGATCATGCCACTGCACTCCAGCCTGGGCAACGAAGTGAGACTGTCTCAAAAAAAAAAAAAAAAAAGAAAAGAAGGCAGTAATGACCAAATGTGGTAGCTAACATTTGTAACCTCAGCACTTAGGGAGGCCAAGGTGGAAGGATTGATTGAGTCAGGAGTTTAAGACCAATCTGAGCAATATGGCGGGAATCCATCTGTACAAAAAAATACAGAAATTAGTCGGGTGTGGTGGTATGTGCACTTGTAGTCCCAGCTACTCAGAAGGCTTAGGTGGGAGGATCACTAGAGCCAGGAGGTCCAGGCAACCGTGAACCATGATAGTGCCACTGCACTCTAGCCTGGGCAACAGACTGAGACCTTGTCTCAAAAAAATAGTTTTAAAAAGTTTATAAAGTTAAAAAGTTACAGTAAGCTAAGCTAAAGGTAATTCATTATTGAAGAAAGGAAGTTTTTTTTGGCCGGGGGGGACGGAGTTGTGCTCTTGTTGGCCAGGCTGGGGTGCAATGATGCGATCTCGGCTCACTGCAACTTCTGCCTCCCAGGTTCAAGCAATTCTCCTGCCTCAGCCTCCCAGGTAGCTGGGATTACAGGCATGCTCCACCATACCCAGCTAATTTTGTATTTTTAGTAGAGACAGGGTTTCTCCCTGTTGGTCAGGCTGGTCTCAAACTCCTGACCTCAGGTGATCTACTCGCCTCAGCCTCCCAAAGTGCTGGGATTATAGGCATGAGCCACCGCGCCTGGCTGGAAAATTTTTAAAATAAATTTAGCGGGCCAGGTACGGTGGGTCACGCTTGTGATCACAGCACGTTGGGAGGCCAAGGCAGATGGATCACCTGAGGTCAGGAGTTTGAGACCAGCCTGGCCAACGTGGTGAAACCCCATCTGTACTAAAAGTACAAAAATTAGCTGCATGTGGTGGCACACATCTGTAGTCCTAGCTACTTGGGAAGCTTGAGGCAGGAGATCACTTGAACTTGGGAGGCGAAAGTTGCAGTAAGCCAGGATTGTGCCCCTGCACTCCAGCTTAGGCAACAGAGTGAGACTTCATCTCTAAATAAATAAATTTAGTTTAGCCTAAGGGTACAGTGTTTATAAAGTCTACGGTAGGGTCCAGTAATGTCCTAGGCTTCCACATTCACTCACCACTCACTCTGGACTCACCCAGTACAGTTTTCATTCATGGTAAGTGCCTTCTACAGGTATAGCTTTTTTTTTTTTTTTTATCATTTATACCATATTTTTACTGTACTTTTTCTGTATTTAGATACACAAATACTTACCATCGTGTTACAATTGCCTGCAGTATTGGCTACAGTAACATGCTATAGAGGTTTGTAGCCTATGAGCAATAGACTATGCCATATAGCCTAGATGTGTAATAGGCTATTCCTGTCATGTAAATTTGTGTAAGTACACTCTATGATGTTCAAACGGTGATGAAATCACCTAACGATGCATTTCTCAGTACACATCCCCAGTCATTAAGTGATGCATGACTGTTAGGGCTTCCACGTACTTTCTTCCAGTTGCTCTAGAAAATTCTAAAGCAAGGCCGGGCGCAGTGGTTCATGCCTGTAATCCCCGTACTTTGGGAGGGCAAGCCGTGAAGAATTGCTTGGACCCGGAAGTTCAAGTCTGGGCAACATGGCAAGACCTCATCCCTACAAGAAGTCAAAATAAATTAGCTGGGTATGGTGGCATGCGCCATAGTCCCAGCTACTCAGTAGGCTGGGGTGAGAGGATCCCTTGAAGCCCATTAGTTTGAGGCTACCGTGAGCCATGTTTGAGCCACTGTACTCCAGCCTAGGTGTGACAGTAAGATCCTGTCTCAAAAGGAAAAGAAAAGAAAGAAAATATTAAAGCATTTATTGATAACATGTTTCTTACCAGGAAGTCATGCAGAACTATATATTGTAAGTAATTGAATCTGTTGCAATACCATCTTTTTGATACTGTTTACTTTTGGTCCCAAGGAGAAATGAAAAGGTGTGAGGGACATATGTTTTACTTAAAATCTGTCACTACCAATTTTAATACACATTTATCATGGCTTCCTTCCCTGTAGAGACTGCAGCACTGTTTTAAGGTATCCTATTAATTAAATGAGTAACGTTTTTTGGGTAGTGACTATTTTTAGGTCCAATTCTTAGTTCCATAGAGATCATGACACTCATACTAAGTGATGTCCCATTTCTGTTTGTGCTGTGGGTCCCATACCACGACCATGGTTCATAAAGCTGTGATTCCAACCCAGGCAGTCAAACTCCAGAGATTGCACTGGACACCATAATACCATTTTGTCCTTCAGTGTTCCTAAAGCCTAGGCCTAGTTTACCCCAAGGCCCTTGGCTTTTACATGATACTCTCCTCCTCCAGAAGACAGCTAATACGGCTGCTGTTCACACTAGTAGTTATTAATTGCTGTTTGTGTGAATAGTCCTATATCATTTCAGGTCAGGTTTTGCCACCAAATAAGTTAAAAAAAATTTTAAATTGTTAATTTAGCAAAGCTGTTGGAATTCTACTGAATTATAGACCTAACTAAATGACTTGGAGAAATGTGACACAAAGTGATGTTTTTATTACAGCCTTTTTAATTTTGTAGGTGATATAAGGAATTCTCTCATCTTACAGGACTGCTGATGGAGGAGGTTTGGTAGAAAAACACTATGTCTTTCTGAAGAGGCTCTGTCAGGTGTTGTGTGCGCTGGGCAATCAGCTGTGTGCATTGCTGGTGAGCTAGTGCTTGCTTTCTGGAGAGCTTCAAGCCCATTTGGGAAGAGCATTTAGAAACTTATGTTTCAATAAGGGGTTGCAAATGTCATTGATTTTAGCCTGATGGGGCAGTGCCCTACAAGTTATTGCATGATTCTATAGATTAAATTATCTTAATAGAATAGTGTTTGAGTGATCTAAATTTATTTTAACAATAAAATAGCTATACCAACATCAGATATCCACATCTATTATTCCATAAAGTCAATGTTGGTTTCTTGTGAATTTTGGTACTTACAGAACCTTAAGCTGCTGAGTGCTTTATGCTTTTACATTCTATTAGCCCACGAAACATGGACTTGAATAAAGAACCCTTTTCCCAATCTAAGGGGTGTGTTACTGGATCACAAAAGAAAACTTGAGTCTGAATGACCTGGAAAACCTGCCATTAGAGAAATATTTAATACTCAGTCTTATAAGTTGGAAGATAGGACATTGGAACAGACATTAGCAATTGATGTTATATCTTTTTGTGCTGGTTTAAATGGTTAGAGAGGATAGTTTCACAGATAGAAACCATTGAGGGGGCCAGGTGCAGTGGCTCATGCCTGTAATCCCAGCATTTTAGGAGGCTGAGGTGGGCAGATCACCTGAGGTCAGGAGTTTGAGACTAACCTGGCCAACATGGTGAAGCCCTGTCTGTACCAAAAATACAAAAATTAGCCAGGCGTGGTGGTGCATGCCTGTTATCCCAGCTACTTGGGACGCTGAGGCAGGTGAATCACTTGAACCCAAGAGGTAGAGGTTGCAGGGAGCCAAGATTGGGCCACTGCACTCCAACCTGAGCAAGAAAGTAAGACTCCATCTAAAAAAAAAAAAAAAAAAAAGGCCAGGTGCGGTGGCTCACGCCTGTAATCCCAACACTTTGGGAGGCTGAGATGGGCAGATCACGAGGTCAGGAGATCGAGACCATCCTGGCTAACACGGTGAAAACCCGTCTCTACTAAAAGTAAAAGAAATTAGCCGGGCGCAGTGGCGGGCGCCTGTAGTCCCAGCTACACGGGAGGCTGAGGCAGGAGAATGTCGTGAACCCGGGAGGCAGAGCTTGCAGTGAGTGGAGATCGCGCCACTGCACTCCAGCCTGGGCAACACAGCGAGACTCCGTCTCAAAAAAAAAAAAAAAAAAAAACAGAAAAGAAAAGAAACTATTGAGGGGGTTATTTAATAGGTTGGGACACAGAGATGTGAATAGGTAAGGTCTGAGGAAGTAATACAGACTTTTTTCTTCCTGTAATTTATGAAATGAGTATTTTTTTACTATTTGACCACAGAATGGGTTTTAATGATGATGATTGAGTAGGCAAAGTAACTTTCCTATATTTTAGCCCTTGAAGTGATACCCTTCTTTAGCCAAAAGGAAATACAAAGTCCTTTTAAAACAAAATTTTTGAGGGTTTGATTTATCTGTTTTTATTACTTCCCTGCTTTTTCTTCTCCTGCTTTTCTCAATCAACACCATTAATGTAGTGGTCTTCTCCGACAGGGTGTAGATTCTGATGTAGAAACACCATCAAACTTTGGAAAATACCTGGAATCTTTTCTTGCTTTCACAACCCATCCAAGTCAGGTAAACTTTATACAGGTAACTTCTCAAAATTTCAGTTAGGTGAACCAATATCAAGCACTGTGTCCTGAAATATTGTAGATCATGTATAAAATGTGACTCTTCAGGCCTTGGGGAATGACCATAGTGTAATTTCATTAAGAGAATTATTGGCTCTTCTTCCTGAGCCAAATAGTGCACTTGTCTAGGTCAGCAGCTTTTCTCTTTAGGTAATATTCTGATTGTACTCAGTCACATGTGAGGTATGTCCCAGGTGATTTAGTACTAAAGTTATAAAGATTTTTAAAACAAAAGTCTGATTAATTGTTTTATAAAATTAATTTCACTGAGTTCAAAATTGTCCTTCTAATATCACTCTGAGATTCCAGCATCCTTTATTGCAAAGAAAAGAAAGTAGTAAAATTCAGTCCACACTCCAGGTAATTTCCTTGACCCACAGCCTATCTTAATACCATGTGGTCCATAGTGGGTAGTCATTACTGATACATTGCAGTGGAGACAGCTTCAAAGTATTGTACAGATTTATTTATATGAAAAAATGTAGTTGGTAACTGCTAAATAATAATCTGGGTTATATAAAATCCAAATCCTTAGACTGATGTTTTGTTTTTTTCTCTTTAGTTTCTACGCTCTTCAACTCAGATGACTTGGGGAGCCCTCTTCAGGCATGAAATCCTGTCCCGTGATCCTTTGCTATTAGCAATAATACCAAAATATCTCCGTGCTTCCATGACTAACTTGGTCAAGGTATATAATGGGACTCTAAATGTGGAATGTAGGTGTATACACATAATAAGACTTTGAGGCTGGGCGCAGTGGCTCACACCTGTAATCCCAGCTCTATGGAAGGCTGAGGCAGGAGGATCACTTGAGCCCAGGAGTTGAAGACCAGCCTATGCAACATGGCAAAACCTCGTCTCTACTAAAATACAAAAAAGTTAGCAGAGCATGGTGGTATGCACCTGTAGCCCCAGCTACTGGGGAGGCTAAGGTGGGAGGATCACCTGAGCTTGGGAAGTTGAGGCTGCAGTGAGCTGAGATCACACCACTGTACTCCAGCCTAGGCGATGAGAGTGAGACCCTGTCTCGGGGGAAACATAAAAAAGACTGGCATTATTAACAGCCCTTTCTTCATCACTAAGATTCCTTTATTGGACATATTTTCTTATTCCTCAGGAAGAAATCAGTCCTTACTGGTTATTATAACCGCTCTTCCATATGAGAGTACTTATATATCGTAAGTATTGGGCTAGGTGCTAGGGCAAGAGCAGTGACCATACATAGATTCTGCTTTTTAACCCCAGAATTGCTATTTATCTGTTTTTATGATGATTGAGTAGGCAAAGTAACTTTCCTATATTTTAGCCCTTGAAGTGATGCCTTTCTTTAGCCAAAAGGAAATTCAAAGTCCTTTTAAAACAAAAGAGCTTTGTAAACAAGGCCTTTTTAAAACAAAAGGCTGCACCGGTCACACTGTGTTCTTGTTTTCTGCCTTGGTCTTCAATACTTTTTTGAATGAAACATACAAAGTTCTACAAGTTTATTCTCAGTGTTCAGTATTTGAGGCAAGTAGCTCTCAATTCTTTCTTCTTTACTACATACTGAATTATCATTTTTTCTTGGGACTCTAAAAGAATTCAAGAATTTAATTCTCCCTGAGGAACTTGGAGGATGGTATCAACTAAAAGTATTCTCTTTCTGCTACTGAGGAATACTGGAACTGGGAAGAAACTGTGGACCTGTGATAGAACTGAAGTGGTTATTTACCATACAATATCTCATGCAAACCCTTAACTCTTAAAATAAATTAAAAGTGCTTGAACTCCTGAAGCTTAAATACTCTTTCAGTGGGTCCATTTTCATCCCCTACCCCTATTACCTTTCTCTTTCCAGATGGGCTTTCCTTCTAAAACAGACAGCCCTAGCTGTGAATATTCTCGATTTGATTTTGATAGCGATGAGGACTTCAATGCTTTCTTCAACTGTAAGTGATGTTGGCCTTGGATTTCTCTCAACAGTCTCAGAATGGCATCTAGTATTATGATTCATGGTGCGTGATGTTTGGGGTTTTTACGAAAGATCCCCAAATCTGGATAGCACCCTACTTATTAAGCCCTAGTTTCCCATTGCAGAAGAATGCTGGGGCTGTATTCCAGGCATAATGTTTTGTTTTACACCACAAACCCCCAAAGCACTTGGACATTGATGTTTAGGGACAGTAACCATACTTAAGATGCTCTTGACTTTTTTTCATACTTAGGATTAAATACCATCTTACCTTATGGTTCTTTGTTTCCCCAAAAAAGTGGAAAAATCCATTTTATTCTAATATTCTCGTTCTGTTCTGTTCTGTGTTTTCTGTGCCTTATTTCCTTTTTTTTTTTTTTTTTTTTTTTTGAGATGGAGTTTTGCTCTTGTTGCCCAGGCTGGAGTGCAATGGCACGATCTCAGCTCACCACAACCTCCACCTTCTGGGTTCAAGCGATTCTCCTGCCTCAGCCTCCTGAATAGCTGGGACTACAGGCACATGCCACCATGCCCAGCTAATTTTTGGGTTTTTAGTAGAGACGGGGTTTCACTGTGTTAGCCAGGATGGTTTCAATCTCCTGACCTCGTGATCCACCTGCCTCGGCTTCCTAAAGTGCTGGAATTACAGGCTTAAGCCACCACACCCAGCCTGTTTTGTTTTTTTGTTTTGTTTGTTTTTGTTGTTTTTTTTTTTTTGAGACAGAGTCTTGCTCTGTCGCCCAGGCTGGAGTGCAGTGAAACTCTCGGCTCACTGCAACCTCTGTCTCTGGGGTTCAGGCGATTCTCCTGCCTCACCCTCCCGAGTAACTGGGATTATAGGCATGCCCCACCATGCCCAGCTAATTTTATTTTTAGTAGAGATGGGGTTTCATCATGTTGACCAGGCTGGTCTCGAACTCCCGACCTCAGCTGATTCACCCACCTCAGCCTCCCAAAGTGCTGGATTACAGGCGTGAGTCACCATACCCCGCCTTCATTTCTTTTTATTGCCAATATTTCATTGTATGGATATGCCACATTTACTCATTTATTCGTCTGTTGATGGACATTTGAGTTATTTCCATTTTTTGGCTATTACAAATAATGCTGCTATGAACATTTATATACAAGGTTTTGTGTAGACATAAGTTTTTGTTTCTCTTAGATATATAAGTAGGAGGAGAATTGCTGGATAATATGGCAATTGCATGTTTAATATTTTCAGGAACTGCCAGGCTGTTTCCCACAGCAGCTGCACCATTTTTTATTACCACCAATCTGATTTACTTTTTAAAATTTTTATTTTATTTTATTTTATTTTGAGACATGGTCCCACTCTGTTGTCTAGGCAGGAGTGGTGCTGCAATCATGGCTCACTACAATCTTGACCTCCCTGGGCTCAGCTGATCCTCCTGCCTCACCCTCCCAAGTTGCTGGGACTGTAGGTGCATGCCACCACACCTGGCTAATTTTTGTATTTTTTGGTAGAGACTGGATCTCACTGTATTGCCCAAACTGGTTTTGGACTCTTGGGCACAAGCAGTCTGCCCACCTTGGCCTCCTAAAGTGCTAGGGTTTCAGACGTGAGCTACAGCGCCCAACCCTGATTTCCTTTTAATTCCAACAGAAATGAGAGACTAAGTTTAGTTTGCCACTTACAGGATCTAGTTAGTAATATAGCTTCCAGAGATCATTTATTTTTAAAAAATTCTGGATTCATTAATAAAGTTTTATTGATTATTACATGCAAAGCACAAGTCTGCAAAACAGTTCTTTTGAATGCTTTTCCCCTAGGGTGGTAAATTAATAAACATTAAGTACCTATTTTATACCAGTTGTTGATTCCTGTCCTTCCCTTGGCATTTTCCCTTGGCAGCCTCCCGAGCCCAGCAAGGAGAGGTGATGAGGTTGGCATGTCGTTTGGATCCCAAAACTAGCTTCCAGATGGCTGGGGAGTGGCTAAAGTATCAACTATCAACTTTTCTTGATGCTGGTTCTGTGAATTGTAAGTTTTTTTCATTACTAAATGTTAGTGAAATGTTAGGACAGTATCAAAACTATATATAGGAAATGAGCCTGAGCCACACACACATCAGAACGATGTACTAATACTAGTCAGAAATAGCTTTGCTCACTGCCTAATTCTATCTTGGAGAGGGAGCGTTTTCATTGGCTCACACAAAAAAAGCAGATGACACATTTTAAATTTAAGTTAGGGTAAAACCATGTCCTTATCAGTTTTGCCATCATTTTCCATTTCTAACAGAATCAACCAATTATTTACTGTTGATTTTATTTGCTTCACTTAAGGCACCAACTTAACAAATTGCATGCCTAGACCTAACTTCAAAACTTTTCAGCCAAATTCTTGCATAGCAGTATTCCTGAATTCAGAAAGGATCTCCCATAGACGTAACAGGAATAATACAGGGACTTCTCATATCACTCAGCCACCCCAGAGCTTTCGGGAAATTATACTTTACATAAAATCAAAATAATCCCCCTCTACCCAAATGTCTCAGCCAGTTAACTTCTCTGTACTCCATATGTTTTGTCTGTCATCTTAATGCATGCTATATGTGTGTGACAGTATTAATAAAGCAAAAAGGCTGGGCGCAGTGGCTCACACCTATAATCCCAGCACTTTGTGGGGCTGAGGCGGGCAGATCACCTGAGGTCGAGAGTTTGACACCAACCTGACAACCTTGGAGAAACCCTGTCTCTACTAAAAACACAAAAAATTAGCTGGCGTGGTGGTGCATACCTGTAATCCCAGCTACTCGGGAGGCTGAGGTAGGAGAATCGCTTGAACCCAGGAGGTGTAAGTTGCGGTGAGCTGAGATGGTGCCATTGTACTCCAGCCTGGGCAACGAGAGCAAAACTCCATCTCAAAAAAAAAAAAGAGAAAAAAAAGGGGCGAATTAACTAGTGCACGTCACTGCTTTAGAAAAGCACCATACTACTGGCTGACATTTGAGGGATTTAACATTCAGTTGCATTTACAGTTGGCTCTGAAGTTCTCTGATATTTGGTAACTTGAAAGGTTGAAGAAGCCCAAATGTGTTGCACCAAGATGAAACTAGTAAATAGGACTGCGCTGTATGTAAGCAAGAAAAGCAATTGGTAAATCTTAGGCCGGGCAGGGTGGCCCACACCTGTAATCCTAGCACTTCGGGAGGCTGAGGCTGGGGATCATCTGAGATCAGGAGTTCGAGACCAACCTGGCCAACATGGCAAAACCCTGTCTCTACTAAAAATAAAAAATTAGCTGGGTGTGGTGGCAGGCCCCTATAATCCTAGCTACTCGGGAGGCTGAGGCAGGAGAATCACTTGAACCCAGGAGGTGGAGGTTTCAGTGTTCCAAGATCAAGATTGTGCCACTACACTCCAGCCTGGGCGACAAAGCGGGACTCCATCTCAAAAAAAAAAAAAAAAATGGCTGGGCGCGGTGGCTCATGCCTATAATCCCAGCACTTTGGGAGGCTGAGGTGGGTGGATCACGAGGTCAGGAGTTCAAGACCAGCCTGGCCAGGATGGTGAAACCCCGTCTGTACTAAAAAAAAAAAAAAAATACAAAAATTAGCCGGGCACAGTGGCAGGCGACTGTAATCCCAGCTACTTGGGAGGCTGAGGCGGAAAATTGCTTGAACCTGGGAGGCTGAGGTTGCAGTGAGCTGAGATCTCGTCACTGCCCTCCAGCCTGGGCGACAGAGTGCGACTCCATCTCAAGCAAACAAAAAAAGAAAAGTAATTGGCAAATCTTTTTGCTTGTGCCTTGCTATTTGAGTGGTGTGCTATGGTAATATTTGCAAACTTAAAGGGTGGCATCCTTCTCTAGACATAACCCTTCAGGTTGTCATGAGGCTGTTGGATGTGAAGCAGTGTTTTGTGTATTATATTGTTTCCTTATTGGGAAGATTCTCTATGGTCTCAATTTTGATTATTTAGATTCTCATGGAAAAGATTATAAAGGGGGAGGAGGGGAGAAACTAATTCATGTTTATCAAGTGCGTACTAATGGGCCAGGCAATGTTTTCGATGTTCACCTGTGTATTCTCATTCATTACTCAAAATGGTTTTACTCTAAGGCTCATAGAGGTGAATTCAGACTGCTCATTGTTAGAGGAGGAGGCATGGTAGGAACCTTCACCTACCTCACTGCTTTCAGCGCACATCATCTTTTCTTTGCCCAAGCTGAGACGGGTTAGATTACCCTGCTCCTTCAATCATGAAATTCTCAGGTGTTCTCTAAAGCTCCATTGTCTCTCTGTGTCTTCTGTGATCTTTCAATGCTGATATTTTTTTGTGTGTGTGTGTGTGTGTGTGTTTTAAAGCTTGTTCTGCAGCCGGAACTGGAGAAGGAAGCCTCTGTTCTGTCTTCTCACCTTCATTCGTGCAGTGGGAAGCCATGACTCTTTTTTTGGAAAGTGTTATCACCCAGATGTTTCGAACGCTAGATAGAGAAGTAAGTAATTATTTCCCATGCTGACTGCATGATTGTTTTGACCTTTTTCTTTTATTTTCTCTTTCTTTTTTGAGACACGATCTCTCTCTGTTGCTCAGGCTGAAATGCAGTGGCACAATCATAGCTCTCTGTAACCTCCAACTCCTGGGCTCAAGCAATTCTCCTACCTCAGGCTCCTGAGGATCTAGGACTACAGTCACGTGCCACCACACCTGGCTAATTTATAATAGAAATGGAGTCTGTGTTGCCCAGGCTGATCTCAAACTCCTGGCCTCAAGCGATCCTCCTGCCTTGGCCTCCCAAGGTGCTGAGATTTCAGGCATGACCCACAACACCTGGCCAGTTTTAATCTTTTTTTAACTGGTAGTAGAATAGGAAGATCTATGGATGTACGTCTTACAGAAAAGGAAGCAGATTTAGAGAGGCTAAATAGCACACTCAAGTTCAAACAGCTAATTAAATGGCAAAGCTGGGACCAAAACTCAGGTCTTTCTAACTCTAAGCCCTACCACATTTAGTATACATTTTAAGTACCACACTGCTTTAGAATACTGTAGGCCACCAGTATAGTGGCCACCTGTAGGTCTGAAAAGGAGGGTATGCACAGAGAGCCTCGACTGATAGGTAAAATCATATTTCTTAAATTGGGCAGATGAGGATTTACTAAATTATAGAGAAATAGACAAAAGATATAATCCGATAATGTATAGAGGAGAACCTAAAGTAGCTGATAAGCCGGGCACAGTGGCTCATGCCTGTAATCCCAACACTTTGAGAGGCCAAGGCGGGCAGATCACTTGAGTTCAGGAGTTCCAGACCAGCCTGGCCAACATGGTGAAACCTTGTCTCTACTAAAAATACAAAAATTAACTGAGCATGCTGGTGCACGTCTGTAATCCCAGCTACTTGGGAGGCTGAGGTACGGGAATCACTTGAACCCAGGAGGCAGAGGCTGCAGTGAGCCAAGATCACGCCAGTGCACTCCAGCCTGCGTGACAGTGAGATTCTGTCTCAAAAAAAAAAAAAAAAGGGTGGGGCGCAGTGGCTCAGGTCTGTAATCCCAGCACTTTGGGAGGCTAAGCTGGGTGGATCACCTGAGGTCAGGAGTTCCAGATCAGCCTGGCCAACATGGCGAAACCCTGTCTGTACTAAAAATACAAAAATTAGCCGAGCGAGCATGGTGGTGGGTGCCTGTAATCCCAGCTACTCAGGAGGCTGAGGCAGGAGAATCATTTGAACCCGGGAGGTGGAGGTTGCAGTGAGCTGAGATCGTGCCATTGCACTGGGCAACCAAGTGTGATATATAAAGTAGCTGATAAATCTGAAAAACATTCAGCCTCATGATCAATTGAAGAAATACAAACTTTAAAAGGTTTTAGGGAATAATATACTGCTGAGAAGATGGTAAGAAGGGCACACACAGCTGAGTTCACACTTGTAATCCCAACACTTTGGGAGGCCAAGTTGGGAGGAATGTTTGAACCCAGGAGTTTGAGACCAGTCTGGACAATATAGTGAGACCTCATCTCTACTAAAAATAAAAAAAAATTAGCCATGCATGGTGGTGTGCGCCAATAGTCCCACCTACTTGGGAGGCTGAGGCTGCAGGATCACTTGAAACCAGGAATTTGAGACCAGCCTGGTCGATATAGCAACACTTCTACAACTTCTTTACAAAAATTTTTAAAAGCATCCAGGCATGGTGGTGCCCGCCTGTAGTCCTAGCTACTCAGGAGTCTAAGGCAGGAGGATCCCTTGAGCTCAAGAGTTTGAGGTTATAGTGAGCAATGATTGTGCCACTGCGCACTCCAGCCTAGGTGACAGAATGAGACCCTGTCTCTTTAAAAGATGAAAAGAAAATGTAGCCAAATGGTTATTTCTGAGTGGAGGCAGTCATGTCAACCTCTGTTTTATGTCTTTGTTACAGGAAATTCCTGTTAATGATGGAATAGAGCTATTGCAGATGGTTCTGAACTTTGATACCAAGGATCCCCTCATCCTGTCCTGCGTCCTTACCAATGTCTCTGCACTCTTTCCATTTGTCACCTATAGACCAGAGTTCCTGCCCCAGGTCTTCTCTAAGGTATAAAGTCCATCTCCTTTGTAAATTTTATTTTGACATTTCTAAGTTAATTTTTATTTATTTTATTTTTTGGAGACAGGATCTTGCTACATTTCCCAGGCTGGACTCAAACTCCTAGTCTCAAGGGATCCTCACACCTCAGCCTTCTGAGTAGCTGAGACTACAAGCATGCACAACCACGCCTGGCCTAAGCTAATTATCTTTGTAACTATTTTTGAAATTATGTGAGGCAAACTAATAAACACAGCTATTTATTCATTTATTAAATATCTACTCAGTACTTATTGTGGATCAGGCACCATGCTAGTGCCTCACTCTTTAGGAACACTCTGGGAAGAAAGGCACAAAAACAGTTAATGTTACCTATATGGCATTGCAATGAAGACTTGTATAAAGGAGGAGAGTATTAGAGTGTGCTGTCGGGCTGGGAGGGGATTTATGAGAGGAAGGAACACTTTCTAGGTTTCCAGTTCAGTTGACTAGGTGAGTGATAGATCCACTACCTGAGTCAGAATACCAGATCAGGAAGGAGAACGGGGGTAAAGAAGAGAAGGCAGTGAGTATTTTGGAATACTGTGTTTGATGAATATGTAGAACATCTTTGTGGAGACCTCTCACAATAAATTGGCTATTTGAGGTTGAAGATCTAGACTCTAGAAAGTAACGAGATAAAATTAAAGCATCATCATCATAGAAGTCCCACGACTAAAAGTGAAGTCTTACTGAAGTGATGATGTATGTAGAGTTAGGAGACATGTGAGTCAAGCAAGGAACCTAGTGAATTGCCATCATTGGAGGAGTGGAGAAAAAAATGAGAAGCTCCCACAGAAGGAAAAAGAGCCAGAGAAATGAAGAAAATGTTGTATCACAAGACCAGTAGAACTTCAGAAAAGTAGGCTCATTTGTTGCAAATTCTTTGAGTTGGAGAATGTTCAGTGAGTTTCTTGACTACACCCTCATCTGAGTTTAATTCCATAATAGTGGCCAAGGAAGCAGTCTTATTTCATTGGAATGAGGAGTAAATGGGAAGTAATGAAATGGAATCGAGGGGACAGATCATACAACTTTTGATAAAAAGAAGAGAGAGGAGTTTCCATAGCCACGTACTTGGGTGATAGCATGAATTGTTCTGGGATCCTATTGTAAAATGTTTTGATGGTAAAATTGTGACTCCGATGACTCTTGTAGAGGTATCTGAGAAAATGGACAATATGAATAAGCTCATGCCTATAGTCCCAGCTACTCAGAAGGCTAAAGCAGGAGAATCAGTTGAGTCCAGGAATTCAAGGCTAGTCTGGGCAACATAGCAAGATCTCATCTCTAAAACAAATAAACAAACAAATAATGAGTGACCTTTTTTCCTCCTCTCCCCTAGCTATTTTCATCTGTCACTTTTGAAACTGTTGAAGAAAGTAAGGTAAGACCATTAATTAAGCCAATCAATAGATTCTAATTTCTTGAGTACAAATGTATGAATACCTGATACTCAGTTTATATTTTTATATAAATGGGAGGGGGTAGTAAAGGTGGTAGATTATCATATGATGCGGTGTTTTGCCCTAGAGACACTATAGGGCATACAGGAAACATGGATTCTCAGTGGCTATAAATGTTACTCCATTTTACTCTTAGGGTTGTGAAAAATCTTTGTGAACTTGCCCTTGACTGAGATACTTACATGATTCTATGCAGCACCTGTATATTATATCAAAAGTAGCTCCAAGTTTGTTGAATGTCTCTTTTCAGGCCCCCAGAACCCGGGCAGTGAGGAATGTGAGGAGGCATGCTTGTTCCTCCATCATCAAGATGTGTCGTGACTATCCCCAGCTTGTGTTGGTAAGCTGCTGGACCCTGGCTGAAGTAGCCAAGTTTGGTTACATTTGTGTGTAAATCCAGCCTTCAGTGTACCTCACATAAATTTAAAACTAGAGGCTGGGGACAGTGGCTCACGTCTGTAATCCCAGCACTTTGGGAGGCTGAGGCGGACAGATCACAAGGTCAGGAGATCAACAACATCCTGGCTAACACGGTGAAACCCCGTCTCTACCAAAAATACAAAAAAAAAATTAGCTGGGCGTGGTGGCAGGTGCCTGTAGTCCCAGCTACTCGGGAGGCTGAGGCAGGAGAATGGCGTGAACCTGGGAGGCGGAGCTTGCAGTGAGCCGAAATCGCGCCACTGCACTCCAGCCTGGGCGACAGAGTGAGACTCAGTCTCCAAAAAAAAAGAAAAAGAAAAAACTTGGAAACTATAGCTTTGCATCAAATAAGCATCCTTGGCCGGGCATGGTGGCTCACACCTGTAATCCCAACACTTTGGGAGGCTGAGGTAGGTAGATCACCTGAGGCCAGGAGTTCGAGACCAGCCTAGCCAACATGGTGAAGTCCCATCTCTACTAAAAGTACAAAAAATTAGCTGGGCATGGTGGTGCATGCCTGTAATCCCAGCTACTCAGGAGGCTGAGGCAGGAGAAGCACTTGAACTCAGGAGGCGGCGGTTGCAGTGAGCCAAGACCGTGCCATTGGTCCAGCCTGGGCAGCGAGCAAAACTCCATCTCAAAAATAAATAAATAAACATTCTTGAATTAGTATTTTCTTAGTATAGTTAGAAATGTGATGGCAAATGTAATCTCTCTTTAAAATACAAATAGTTATCTGCCATATAGATTACTAAGTTTACCCCTATAATTCTACAACTCTTTACTATGTGATGGTCTTAATTACTACTGCCAAGTGATGTACCTGATCTTGAGAAAAGCAGATGCAAATCACAACCCTTTTCGGGGCGTGGGTTTATAAGAAATGTAATATTACTCCAGATTACAAATTATCCAGAAATTTCTTCTCTGAATGCACAGCAGTTATCTCCATATGTGTGTGTGTGTGTGTATAAAACAAGCTGATCTTTTCACATTTGTGGTATGGGAAAGTGCAGTTATCCAAATACTCAAGACAAGAGCTATCTTCTGCCTAAATTACCTTGCTTATTTAGGCAAAATAAAGACGTATAATAGAATTAACGAAGTAATAGCCTTATAGGCCTGACTTCCTGGGACTGCTTTGGTTTTCTTCTTTTTTGCTTGAGGGAGCCACCTCTCCTTGAAAATCAGACCTTTACCACCTCTGACTTTTTTTCTTTTTTATCTGTAGCCCAATTTTGACATGCTTTATAACCATGTGAAGCAACTCCTCTCCAATGAGCTACTGCTGACACAAATGGAGAAGTGTGCCCTCATGGAAGCCCTGGTTCTCATTAGCAACCAATTCAAGAACTACGAGCGTCAGAAGGTGTTCCTAGAGGAGCTGATGGCACCAGTGGCCAGCATCTGGCTTTCTCAAGACATGCACAGGTAAAGGAAACCCCTTGCCCTGACTCTCACTATACTCAAGCACCCATTTTAGTTTCAGAGCTAGGCCCAGGGTGGGGTAGGGGTTAAGGATATTGAAGTGTGATGGCATTATCCATGATACCTGAAGTTCTCTAAAAGCAGTCTTTTGTAATTTAATCTCTGGTTCAATTAGATTGTTGGTGGGGAAGGCACAGAGTGAGACTCCTGTGGTGTCTGCATTGCAACACCAGCACATTTAGAGAAATGAGAACAGCTAGGAAAGGCCATACAACCACACAGACACTTATCTGTGCTCATACAGTAGAGAAATTATTTTCTTCTTTATATTTTCAAGATTATATCCTTGTTTAATTCTTAAACTGTTACTAACAACATTTGGGAGTGGGAAGGGAAGTCTGAACCTTCAAATGACAGCTAACAATTAGTATGATTATACTCCTCTCACTATAAAAACTGTTCTTAAAGGCCAAATAATCATAGCCTGTTAACGCCTGTGGAAGACACTGTCCTTGTTTAAAATCATGATATAACTTGTATTTCCCCCTCCAACCTTCAGAGTGCTGTCAGATGTTGATGCTTTCATTGCGTATGTGGGTACAGATCAGAAGAGCTGTGACCCAGGCCTGGAGGATCCCTGTGGCTTAAACCGTGCACGAGTAAGACTTTCTGGGAATGGGAAGTGGCATTGGCTGTGGGTAGGAGTAGGGTGTTGTCTTTTGTCAAGTTTCTCATAGATTTGTTTTTTCTATACTGGTGAGAACCGTGGGAGTCTCCACTTCCCTAAGCTTCTCCTTTCTTTTCTTCTTTAGTCTTGAATTCTTGAGTTAGTTCCCACAGCAGAGCAGATGGTCTTTTCTATGAAGTCATTATTTTGGCTTTAAGGATCTCTAAATAGCTCTGAAGACTGAAGGTGTAATGAGGAAGTAGGTCAGAACTTGGTCAGCAGGGTGAGTCCTCCCTGCCATTGCTCTCTGGCATGTAAAATCTTAAGTGATGGCTTAACTTGCAAACCTGAGATTTTTCAGTGCTTTGCTATTTAAGTAAGCATTGTTCTTGGCTCCATTATGGCACAAGTCCCATTAATTAACCTGGCAAGTAGTAGGTTGATTCAGAGTACCATGAGGGGGGATTAGGACACAAGCTGTCAAGGCCCAAGCTGGAGGGTACAGGATCAACTCAAAGAAGATGAAATGATGGCATTTTAAACACTTTGTTTTGGATCGTATCTAAGCCACCTTCTCATCAGGGTCCTGTGGGTGGGTCACTGCAGCTCCTAGAAAGACAGCTTACTGAAAGGGAAGTTTCCAGAGCCTACCACTGGCCCTGAAAATGGCAGTGAGAGGATCCCTCTTGGACTTCACCTTAAAGGAAGGGATGGGGGATTGCCGGGGAGCAGAGGATTATTTCATTCTCTCTGGCCTCTGTGTCACTTTTGCCAGAACCTTGAATATATCTAACAGTATTTTGTCTTTTTTTTTCCTTTTTATATTTATCTGTCATTCTTATTTTTCTATAGATGAGCTTTTGTGTATACAGCATTCTGGGTGTTGTGAAACGAACTTGCTGGCCCACTGACCTAGAAGAGGCCAAAGCTGGGGGATTTGTGGTGGGTTATACATCCAGTGGAAATCCAATCTTCCGTAACCCCTGCACAGAGCAGATTCTGAAACTTCTTGACAATTTGCTTGCGCTTATAAGGTGAGTCAGAATAATGGCTTTTCTCTGTTGTTTTTTACTTTACCTTAAAACTTTCAAAAGTTTAGTCGGTTTATATGTCTTCATATCTTAGTGGTATTAATGAGGGATTGATTTAAGTCTTGTTTCTTTCTAGAGGGTGTCTCGGTTTTTAAAAAATAACATCAGCTCTCACTTGCATAAATCTTAATTTCCATGTAAACCCAAGGGGCTAATCCCAAAAGGGCTTTTCTCATTTTGAGCCTCCTCTTTGTTGTTCTTCCATTTCTTTATACTTCATCCCTATTTTTACTTGTAAGTTTTATTTGGTCTAAATTTTTTAGTAAAGGAATTGCTCATTGGGAGCATGGCAGTTGCCTTCTATAATGGTGCTTCTCTGGGTGGTATTCATATGAGCTAATCTGAATTTATCAATACTGAGTCTGAGCTCAAATGAACCAAACAACCGCTGGCTGAACATGCTAAACAAAGGAATTACACATTTTTCATCTGAGTTTGCTGGGTCCTTGGTTCTCAAAGCTGAGTCCTAAGACCAGTAGCATTAGTATCACCTGAGAGTTTATTTCAAAGGCAGAATCAAGGCCCCACCCCAGACATATTAAATCAGAATATGCATTTTAACTAGATCCCCAGATGGTTTATATACACATTAAACATTCAGAATCACTGTTCTAGATCACATGAGTTAATATATTCAAGTGGAAGTAGGCCAGTATAGGCTTATCAGTTACTAGATAGATATTTGATGACTCAGGGATGCTCTCTAAATAAAAAGATAGATTTTTTTATATAATTCAGTTATTGGCCAAAATGCTTTTTTTGTATCTCACAGGAATTTTTTTTTTTTTTTTTTTTTTTTTTTTTTTTTTTTTTTGAGACAGTCTCACTCTGTCACCCAGGCTGGGAGTGCAGTGGCACAATCTTGGCTCACTGCAACCTCCACTTCCCAGGCTTAAGCAATTCTCCTGCCTCAGCCACCCAAGTAGCTGGGACTACAGGTGTTCACCACCACTCCCGGCTAATTTTTGTATTTTTAGTAGAGACAGGGTTTCGCCATATTAGCCAGGCTGGTCTCGAACTCCTGGCCTCAAGTGATCCGTCCACCCCAGCCTCCCAAAGTGCTGGGATTCCAGGAATGAGCCACCGCACCTGGCCTCTCACAGGAATTTTAAATTACATCGTTAGAGCTCTTTTTCAGTACTTTTTGGCCCTTTCTCCAGGGAGTAAAAGCAGTCTCAACTGGGCAAACCAAATTATTTATGTCTACTCCTGGGAATAGACACCTAAGACCTGAAGCCTAAGAACCAAAGATTTTAAACAAATTGGAGTGCTGGAGTGACTGATAAAGTTGTCATTGTGGACATATCTGTGGAAATAGACAATATTTTGGCCAGGTGCAATGGCTCACACCTGTAATCCCAGCACTTTGGGAGGCCACGGCAGGTGGATCACTTGAGGTCAGGAGTTTGAGACCAGCCTGGCCAACATGGTGAAACCCCATCTCTACTCAAAATATAAAAATTAGCTGGACCTGGTGGCGCATGCCTGCAATCTCAGCTACTCGAGAGGCTGAGGCAGGAGAATTGCTTGAACCCGCGAGGTGGAGATTGCAGTGTGAGCTAAGATCACACAGCTTCACTCCAGCCTGGGCGACAGAGTGAGACTTCCATCTCAAAATAAATAAATAAATAATAATATTTTCTTTTGATTTCAAAAGGAGGAAAGAGGTCTCTAAAAAGAAGCAGAACTTGTACTGAGAGGGTTAAACATTCAGTCAAGGAAAGGATTGTTTCCATCGTGATGTTTTTATTAATAGAGATGGGGTTTTGCCATGTTGCCCAGGCTGGCCTCGAACAGCTGAGCCTGCCTCAGTCTCCCAAAGTGCTAGGATTACAAGTGTGAGCCACCACACCCAACCCCATAGTGATGTTTTTTAAAACCACAACGTTCTTCTGCAGCTAGAGAAATGTGAAAGTGATGGAAATCATAGGGCAAGAAGCTAATCAACTAGGCTTTTTTAGGCCTGTGGCCAGAATCTATGTGGTAACAACCCAGACATGGAAATGGGGTTCATTCCTGGTTGGGTCTAGAGGCCACAAGACAATAGTATGGTTATCATTTTTTATATAATTTTATTTTTTTAAAAAGTATAATCTCTTTTCAATTTCTAGTTACCTTCCTATCAGTAGAGCAAGATTCTCACGTGTTCACTATGTCTTTCTCCAGTTTTTTCTCTATAAATTCACTATTCCTATTTTCTATAGAAAGACAATGGAAAGTGTATAATTGCTGTTGGTAGATAAGTAGGTCTTGAATTTATTTTCCAAACAAGACCTGTTCTGTCTATCTTTTCATTTAGGAGGCTAAAAGCAGAGTCAGCTTGACTTTAAGGACTCTATTTTCTTAGTCTTCAGATGGTTATCATTTTGATATTTTTCTAAGAGTTCAGTGCTTTTAGAAAATTCAAAAAATCAAAAGGCATTTTGAAAAATGCCTAACGTGTAATGATTGAGTAGATTGCTTGAACAGTGTGCAGCTGGAGCTATTAGAGTTTTGCTTTTTTAGTAAATTTTATTGGCTGGGCGAGGTGGCTCACGCCTGTAATTCCAGCACTTTGGGAGGCCGAGGCACATGGATCACTTAAGGTCAGGAGTTTGAGACCAGCCCGATAAACATGGTGAAACCCCACCTCTACTGAAAATGCAAAAATTAGCTGGGTGTGGCAGCAGGTGCCTGTAATCGCAGCTACTCAGGAGGCTGAGGCAGAAAAATCGCTTGAACCCAGGAGGCGGAGGTTGCAGTGAGCCAAGGTCACACCACTGCACTCCAGCCTGGGTGACAGGGAAGACTCCATCTCAAAAAAGAAAAAAAATTAAATAAATTTTATCTTGAAGTGTAATATTTATATAGAAAAGGGCATAACTTGTGACTCTGTGTAGATGAATTTTCACAAAGTGGACACATTCGTGTCATCAGCACTCAGATCAAGAAGCAGCTTTACCCAGTACCTCTTTTCAGTGATTACCTGCTCCTCAAAGATAGCTACTATTCTGATTTGCATTTATTTATTTATTTACTTACTTACTTACTTTTGAGGCAGGGTCTTGTACTGTCGCCCAGGCTGGGGTGTAGTGTTGTGATCACGGCTCACTGCAGCTTCGACTTCATGGGCTCAAGCAGTCCTCCCACCTCAGCCTCCTGAATAGCTAGGACCACAGGGTGAGCAGCCATGCCCAGCTAATTTTTAACTTTTTGGTAGAGACAGGTTCTCTCTCTGTTGCCGAGGCTAGTCTTGAACTCATGGGCTCAAGGGATCCTCCCATCTCAGCCTCCCTAAGTGCTGGGATAACAGATGTGAGCCACCTCACCTGGCCCACTATTCTGACTTTTAACATTTTGCCAAGGTTTTTAAACTTTATGAAAATGAAATCAGAAGTATGCACCTTTTGGTGTCTGCCTTCTTTTTGCTCAATATTTTATTTCTGAGGTTCATCCATGTTACTGCATATACTTGTGTTTTTTTTGTTCTCCTTGCTTATATGATATTTCATTGTGTGAATATGCTGTAACTATTCAGCCTTGATGGACTTTTGGGTGATATTTTAATATTATAGATCATGCTGCTGTTGACATTCTTATGTCAAATATGTTTTGGTGAACATATATACATAATTTGTGTTGGATACACACATGGGAGTCGAATTCCTAGCTTATAAGAAATGTGTATTTTCTGTTTTTATAGATGCAACCTGTTTTTTAAAGTGGTTGTACTAATTTATATTCCTACCAGTTATATGCTGGAGTTGGGAGTTTTAAATTACTATTTTTTGGCCAGGCACAGTGGCTCACGCCTGTAATCCCAGCACTTTGGGAGGCCGAGGCAGGTGGATCACTTGAGGTCATGAGTTTGAGACCAGCGTAGCCAACATGATGCAACCCGTCTCTACTCAAAATACAAAAAAAAAAAATTAGCTGGGCATGGTGGGGGGATGCCTATAATCCCAGCTACTCAGGAGACTGAGGCAGGAGAATCCGCTTGAACCTGGGAGGCGGAGGTTGCAGTGAGCCGAGATCATGCTACTGCACTCCAGCCTGGGCAACAGAGGAAGACTCCATCTCAAAAAAAAAAAATTGAAAAATAAATTACTATTTGTTTTGTTATGTTTTGTTTCTTTGTTTGAGACGGAGTCTCACTCTGTTGCCCAGGCTGGAGAGCAGTGGTGCGATCTCAGCTCACTGCAAGCTCCAACTCCCGGGCTCATGCCATTCTGCCTCAGCCTCCTGAGTAGCTGGGACTACAGGCGCCTGCCACCACACCCAGCTAATTTTTTGTATTTTTAGTAGAGACGGGGTTTCACTGTGTTAGCCAGGATGGTCTCAATCTCCTGACCTCGTGATCTGCCCACCTCAGCCTCCCAAAGTGCTGGGATTACAGGCATGAGCCACCACACCCAGCCAAATTACTTTTTTTTTTTTTTTTTTTTTTTTTGAGACGGAGTCTCACTCTGTCGCCCAGGCTGGAGTGTAGTGGCTGGATCTCAGCTCACTGCAAGCTCCGCCTCCTGGGTTCACACCATTCTCCTGCCTCAGCCTCCCGAGCAGCTGGGACTACAGGCGCCCGCCACCTCGCCCGGCTATTTTTTTGTATTTTTTTTTTAGTAGAGACGGGGTTTCACCGTGTTAGCCAGGATGGTCTCGATCTCCTGACCTCGTGATCCGCCTGCCTCAGCCTCCCAAAGTGCTGGGATTACAGGCTTGAGCCACTGTGCCCGGCCTTACTATTTTTTTAGTAGAGAAAAGTTTGCGTTCCTTAAGAATGTGGCAAGGTATTGATAGCACCTCCTGCATCAAATAGTCTGATAATAGAAGGTGTTGAAGCTGTGCTGTCCAGCATGGAAGCCACTAGCCATATGAAACTATTGAGCACTTCAAGCATTACTAGTCAAGTGTTACAGCACTTTTAGAATTTGTCTGGTAGGCTTTCCAGTTTTTGCTGGAAAGCTCCTTAAAGAAAAAAAAATAAAAAATAAAAATGACTAGCCTGAATTGAGGTGAACTGTAAGTATAAAATACACACTAGACTTCTAAAATCGGCCAGGCACAGTGGCTCGTGCCTGTAATCCTAGCACTTTGGGAGGCTAAGGCCTTAGGCAGATCACTTGAGGTCAAGAGTTCAAAACCAGTGTGGCCAACATGGTGAAACCCCATTGCTACTAAAAATACAAAAATTAGCCAGGCATGGTGGTGTGCCTGCTTGTAATACCAGCTACTCAAAAGGCTGACGCAGGAGAATCACTTGAACCCAGAAGATGGAGGTTGCAGTAAGCTAAGATTGTGCCACTGCACTGCAGCCTAGGAGAAAGACTCCTAGGCTCTATCTCAAAAAAGAAGTATTGGATTACTACAGTACTTATGAAATGAAGTACTGATAATTACTACACTGTGGATAAACCTTCAAAACATTATGCTGAGTGAAAGAAGCCAGACACAAAAGGCCATATATTGTATGATTTCATTTTTATGGAATATCTGGAGTAGTAAATCCATAGAGATAGAAAGTACATTGGCGATTGCCTCAGGTTGGAGAGGAGAAAAAGGTATAGATCCCCACTGCTACTGCTTAATGGGTCGGGGCAATGGAAATGTTTTGGAACCAGGTAGAGGTTGTTTATGCACACTTTGAAAGTATTAAATACCACTGAATTGTGAACTTTAAGATGGTTAGGTTTTGGTGGGGATTATTTTTGTTAGTTTTTTAAAGTTTTGTGGGTACACAGTACATGCATATATTTATGGGGTACATAAGATGTTTTGATACAGGCATGCAATGCATAATAATCACATCATGTAAAATGGGGTATCCATCCCCTCAAGCATTTATCCTTTGTGTTACAAACAATCCAGTTATACTCAACTGCAGTTATACTTTTTAAATGTACAATCAAAATTTTTATTGACTATAGTCACTCTGTTATGCTAGGAAATACTAGATCTTATTCATTCTTTCTGGATTTTTTGTACCCATTAACCATCCCTGCCTTACCCCTAACCCACCACTACCCTCCCCAGCCCCTCTGCTAACCATCCTTATACTCTATGTCCATGAGTTGAATTGTTTTAATTTTTAGATTCCACAAAGAGTGAGAACATGTGATGTGTCCTTCTGTGCCTGGCTTATTTCACTTAGCATAATGACCTCCAGTGCCATCCATATTGTTGCAAATGACAAGATCTTTTTTTTTTTTTTAATGGCTGAATAGTACTCCTAAAGTGGTTAGTTTTATGTTATGTGAATTATGCCTCAGTTTTTTAATATTTTAATAAAAATAAAGCTGGTTCTTTGAAAATACCAGTGATAACATTAGTAAATTCAAAAACTTAAGAGAAATGGGGCTGGCACTTTGGAAGGCCACAGCAGGAACATTGCTGGAGACCAGCCTGGGCAACATAGCAAGACCCCATCTTGATTTTTTAATTTATTTTTTTTGAAACGGAGTCTCACTCTTGTTGCCCAGGCTGGCATGCAAAGGCATGATCTCGGCTCGCTTCAACCTCCACCTCCCAGGTTCAAGTGATCCTCCTGTCTCAGCCCCCTGCGTAGCTGGGATTACAGGCATGCACCACCATGCCTGGCTAATTTTGTATCTTCAATAGAGACAGGGTTTCACCATGTTGGCCAGCCTGGTCTCAAACTCCTGACCTCAGGTGATCCACCCTCCTAGGCCTCTCAAAGTACTGGGATTACAGGCGTGCACCACCATGCCCAGCTAATTTTGTATCTTCAGTAGGGACAGGGTTTCATCATGTTGGCCAGGCTGATTCTCAAACTCATGATCTCAGGTGATCCGCCAACCTTGGCCTCCCAAAGTGTTGGGATTATAGGCGTGAGCCACCATACCCAGCCCCATCTCTATTTGTAAAAATAAAATATTTAAAAATGGATAATTTCCAGGGAAAATGTAACTAATTCTAACTCAAAAAGACAGAAAACCTAAAGAGATAAAAACTTCATATTAATTATATTGGTAGGTAGTTAAATTAGACCAAAAAACTCCAGGCCTAAATGATTTTATATGGGAGTTCTCCCAGACCTTCAAGGAGCAGATAATTTATCTCTTAGACAAACTGTTCCCAATAATAGAAAAATGTAGTGCTCCATAACTCATTTTATGAGGCTTATTTATTTTGATACCAAAACCAGACATTGACAGTACCAAAGAGGAAAATTATGGGCCTAAATCTCTTGTAAACCTAGAGACAAAAATCCCAAATCAAAAGGAATATGGAGCTAGGAATAAGTCTTTTAATATAACCACATTTCCGTTGTTATATCTCAAAATACTACCAGTAATTCAATATCCAGTATACAACCAGTATTCAAATATCACCAAATGTTTTCCTTTTTTTCTGTTTATCCACACAAGGTTTATATATTTAAGATATCTCTTAGTCACTAAATTAGGCTTAGCATGGTGCCTCACACTTGTGATCTCAGCAATTTGGGAGGCTGAGGCAGGTGGATCCTTGAGGCTAAGAGTTTGAGACCAACCTGGCCAACATGACAAAATCCCATCTCTACTAAAAATAAAAAAAAAAAGTAACCAGGTGTGGTGGTGCACACCTATAGTCTCAGCTACTTGGGAGGCTGAGGCATGAGAATCACTTGAACCCAGCAGGTGGAGATTGCAGTGAGCTGAGATCATGTCGCTGTACTTTTGGAGATAGTCTCGCTCTGTTACCCATGCTGGAGTGCACTGGTGCTATCTCAGCTCACTGCAACCTCCACCTCCCAGAATCAAGCAATTCTCCTGCCTCAGCCTCTCGAGTAGCTGGGATTACAGGTGTGTGCCACCACGCTCGGCTAATTTTTTGTATTTTTAGTAGATACAGGGTTTTGTCATGTTACCCAGGCTGGTCTCGAACTCCTGAGCTCAACTGATCCACCTGCCTCAGCCTCCTGAAGTGCTGGGATTACAGCTGTGAGCCACCATGCCCGGCCCTCTTTTTCAATTTATTTGTTGAAAAATGTGGACTTGTATTTCCAGAGTTTCCCCTGGTGAAATTTTGATGATTGAATCTCTGTAGTATTGTTTGTTGTAGTCTGCTTTCCTTTGTTTTTGTTATATGTGAATATGTCTAGAGGAGGGGTTGGCAGTCTGCAGCCTGAGGACCAAATGCAAGCCTCCGCATGTTTGTAAGTAAACTTTTATTGGAACACACCATGGCCATTCGTTTACCTACTGTTTATGGCTGCTATTGCGCTTCAATGCAGAGTTGAGTTGTTGAGGACAGACACCGTATTGCTGGCCAAGCTTAAAACATATACTAATGTGACCTCCAGTCTAGAAAACTGACCTCATACCAGTTCAGTTTTTTTAGCAGATAATCCTTCGGAGGTGATGATGGGTTCAACACAATAGTAAAGGTGCCTTTAAAAGACTCCCAGGTATGTATTACAGGTTGATTTATGAAGAAGTAATGAAAGTTAGTGAGAAAAGGATGGCTGGGAATAGTGGCTCATGCCTATAATTTCAGCACTTTAGGAGGCCAGGGCAGGAGGATCTCTTGGGGCCAGGAGTTTGCGACCAGTATGGGCAACACAGAGAGACCCTTTCTCTATTTAAAAAAAAAAAAAAAATTTAATTAGCCAGGTGTGGTGGTGCACACTTAAGAGTCCCAGCTACTCAGGAGCCTGAGGTGGAAGGGCCACTTGAGCCCAGGAGTTTGAGGCTGCAGTGAGCTATGATCACACCACTGCAATCCAGCCTGGGCAATAGAGTGAGACCCTGTCTCTTTAAAAACCAAAAAACAAAAATAAATTATTCAATGCTGGGACAGTTGGCTTTCTATAGGGGAAAAAACAATTAGATTCCTACCAGTCACCATACACAGAAAAAATTTTCAGGTGTTTTAAAACCCAAAAAGTAAAGCTTCTTTTTGAGATGGAGTCTTGCTCTGTCACCCATGCTGGAGTGCAGTGGCGTGACCTTGGCTCACTGCAACGTCTGCCTCCTGGGTTCAAGCGATTCTCCTGCTTCAGCCTCCTGAGTAGCTGGGATTTACAGGCATGTGCCACCATGCCTAGCTAATTTCTGTATTTTAAGTAGAGATAGGGTTTCACCATGTTGGCCAGGGCCTGACCTCGTGATCCACCCACCTTGGCATCCCAAAGTGCTGGGATTACAGGCATGAGCCACTGCATCTGGCCAAAGTAAAACTTCTAGACCATATTTACGGCATGAGGTTAGTGAATGACTTCCCCCCCCGCCCCCCGATGGAGTCTCACTATCTTGCCCAGGCTGGAGTGCAGTGGCATAATCTCAGCTCACGACAATCTCTGCCTCCTGGGTTCAAGCGATTCTTATGCCTTGCCCTCCCAAGTAGCTGGGGTTATAGGCATGCACCACCATGCCCGGCTAATTTTTATATTTTTAGTAGAGACGGGGTTTCACCATGTTGGCCAGGCTGATCTCAAACTCCTGACCTCAGGTGATCCGTCTGCCTTGGCCTCTCAAAGTGCTGGGATTACAGGCATGGGCCACTGTGCCTGGCCAGGGTAGCGAATGACTTTTTTTTTTGAGAGGGAGTCTCGCTCTGTCACCCAGGCTGGAGCACAGTGGCACGATCTTGGCTCACCTCGGTTCAAGTGATTCTCCTGCCTCAGCCTCCGGAGTAGCTGGGATTATAGGCAAACACCACCACATTCATGTAATTTTTATATTTTTAGTAGAGTCGGGGTTTTACCATGTTGGCCAGGCTGGTCTTGATCTCCTGGCCTCAGGTGATTCGCCAGCCTCGGCCTCCCAAAGTGCTAGGATTACAGGCGTGAGCCACTGCGCCCAGCCTAGAATGACTTCCTTTTTTTTTTTTTTTTTTTTTTTTTTGACTGCTCTGTCGCTCAGGCTGAAGTGCAGTGGTGTGATCTCAGCTCACTGCAAGCTCCGCCTCCCGGGTTTACACCATTTTCCCGCCTCAGCCTCCCGAGTAGCTGGGACTACAGGTGCCTGCCACCATGTCCGGCTAATTTTGCTTTTGTATTTTTAGTACAGACGGGGTTTCACCGTGTTAGCCAGGATGGTCTCCATCTCCTGACCTCGTGATCCACCGCGCCCGGCCTCTAGAATGACTTCTTAAGCAAGAACAAAAAGGACAAGCTATGGAGGCTTAAACATGGTCTAAAAGAGGTTTTCATTTTGCATCTTAAACCTGTAGCCACCACTCCTGGCACCCGGTACCTGGCTAATTTTTATATTTTTAGTAGAGACTGGGTTTCACCATGTTGGCCAGGCTGGTCCCGAACTCCTGACCTCAGATGATCCACCCACCTCGGCCTCCCAAATTGCTGGGATTACAAGTGTGAGCCACTGCACCCAGCCATAGACTTCTGTTTTGGGGGGGTTTTTTGTTGTTTTTTTTTTTTTTTTTTTGAGATGGAGTCTCACTCAGTTGCCCAGGCTGGAGTGCAGTGGCATGATCTCGGCTGACTGCAACCTCTGCCTCCTGGGTTCAAGCAATCCTCCTGGGTTCAAGCAATTTTCCTGCCTCAGCCTCCCAAGTAGCTGGGATTACACGCATGCACCACCACACCCGTCTAATTTTTATATTTTTAGTAGAGATGGGGTTTCACTATGTTGGCCAGCCTGGTCTTGAACTCCTGGCCTCAGGTAATTCACCGGCCTCGGCCTCCCAAAGTGCTGGGATCATAGGCATGAACCACTAAGCCTGGCCTAGAATGACTTCTTAAGAACAAAAAGAACAAACTATGGAGACTGAAACATGGTCTAAAAGATGTTTTTAGTTTGCATCTTAAACGTGTAGCCATCAGTTTGTTCAGTGGGGCCATTTCTGTGAGTAGGTAAGAGTGCTGTGGACAGCAGGTGTATCAAGTTTACAGTCATTGCTCCTTACTCAAAGCCCATAATTGCTCAGGTAGGTCATTTTAGTGGGAGACAGCATGTGTTGGGAATTGCGTTCCTCTGTCAGGTCCAAACAGCTGTTGCAAGGTCCATGCTCTTGGAATTAAGACAAAACATTGAAAAATGGGGCAAATTACCACCTCCTTCTGTGTTCCTACCTGTAAATCCACAATGTTGCACACATTTCATTCCATATCACTGGTGGCCAAAAAACTGGGACCACTTCAGATTTAAAAGAATTTTGCTTTCTAGCTTTGGACTCTGATACTGTCCTGTTGTCTTGGGGTTTGGTTCTCATGTTAATTCATCTTAGGTATTGTATACTAATTATCTGTGCAAGTCCAGTCCCTCCTGCACCGAGCATTCAGATATTTATACCTTGTTTTCTTTCCCCTGCCAGGAGTTCATGGGCAGATGTGTCTGTGTGGAACTGTAGTATCACTGAATTACAAGCAAAGCCCACTGTTTCCTTCTGCATCAGATGGAAAAACTCAGTAGCATTCTTGTTTCTTTCAGAACCCACAATACATTATATGCACCAGAAATGCTAGCCAAAATGGCAGAGCCTTTCACCAAGGCTCTGGATATGCTTGATGCGGAAAAATCTGCTATATTAGGTAAGAAATGTAACATTTTTTTCTCCTAGGTTCATCTTATCCCTAATGGATGTCCCCTTTTTTTGTTGTCGTTTTTTGAGAGTCATAGTCTCTGTCACCCAGGCTAGAGTGCACTGGTGCAACCATAACTCACTGTAGGCTCAAACTCTTGGGCTCAAGCAGTCTTCCTGCCTCAGCCTCCTGAGTAATTGGACTACAGGTGGATCACAACACCAGACGAACTTTAAAATAGTAAGACAGGGTCTTACTATGTTGCCCAGGCTGGTCTCGAACTCTTATCCTCAAGCAGTTCTCCCACCATGGCCTTTCAAAGCACTAGGATTACAGGCATTCTTATGCATTGCTTGAGCAGCTTCTGCCTATCTTGTGCTTCTTCCTCCTTGTTTTGCACTACCTTCACCATCTATTTGTTCAGAAATGCATTTGTGGAGTTCCTATAAACTCTATATGAACAAATGTATTTACTTAATTACCTTATCATACAGAGAAGATCAGAAGCAATTTATTTATTTCCTGTTAACCCCTTCTTCAATTTAGCCAGTAGGTTGTGGTGGGTGTTACAGCCATTCGATTATAAATAAATCATGGCCTTTAACCTGAAGGATATTTGTATACTTTCCTGCCCTTTTTTTTTTTTTTTTTTTTGTGTGTGTGTGTGTGTGTGTGTAGATAGATAGATAGATAGATATCAAAGTTTTTAAAGGAATAGATTTTAAGCAGTTTCCCAATTGTTACCTTTTTTGTTTTGTTTTGAGAGAGTCTCACTTTGTCACCCAGGCTGGTGTACAGTGGTGCAATCTCGGCTCACTGCAACCTCTGCCTCCCAGGTTCAAGTGATTCTCCCACCTCAGCCTGCTGGGACTACAGCCATGCACCACCACACCCGGCTAATTTTTTGTATTTTTATTAGAGACAGGGTTTCACTATGTTGGCCAGCTGGTCTCGAACTCGTGACCTCAAGTGATCTGCCTGCCTTGGCCTCCCAAAGTGCCGGGATTATAGGCATGAGTCACCACGCCTGGCCTCCCAATTGTGACCTTGATTAGGACACTGCTTTAATTCATTTTCCCATTGAAAATAAGCATGAAAATAACTGTGCAGTCATAATTGCGGTATGTGCTGTGAAGGAAAGTGGCAGTGCTTTGAGTGTTTAGTGGGAGACCTAACCCAATCTCGGAGGGAAGTCAGAAGGCTGACTCCCAATGGGGACTTGAAGGATAAGTAGGAATTAGCTAGGTTAGGGGCATGAGGAAATGCTGGGCATTCTGGACAAACAGAATGGCAGGTACAAGATCTGAGGCAAGAGGGAAAGGCCTTCGTATGTCCAGGACATAGAGATGGTTGAATCATGTGGCTGGAGCACAGGGAGCAAGTCTGGGAATGTGGGATGAAGTTAGAGCCAGAGGCATCAGTTGTCTAAACCTTGTACCCATCTCAGAAGCTTCAGGCTGGCTCACCATCACAGCCCCCATAGTTTGTCTTTGTCCTCAGCTATAACCTGTGTCTGAGCCTGGCTGTGGTCAAGCAATCCAGTGGGCATTCCTCAGCTGTGAAGTTAGCCAAAGGAAGGATGTTAATTTGCCTTTCCAGAGCTCATGTCTATCTGTTTCGGCCTAGATAGTCCTGAATCTTTTCCTTTGACACCATTCCATTTAAGGGTTATGTTGCAGACACCAGTAAAAATAGAACTTCCAAGAAGTGTATTGCTATTAATATAAAAAGTAGGTGTTGCTTACCACACACCCCCATCCCATTATTCAAGTTAAGTCAGGAACTCCTGCTATAGAAATAAGTGGCCAACCAGAAATACTAAAATGGACAAATAGCTCCCTCAGATAGCTTCTGACTATAAGACTCGAAATGTAAAACCTCTGATTACACTTAAAAGTATAGATCTTTTAAGGCAGTTTTTAATACTAAGGTAAGTGGGTTTCATTTTGAGCTGCTACACATCTTAGTCTTTTGTGTAAGATTTTGCTTAAAAAAAGGGGTTTCATAAATTAATTGTGGGGGCATCCCCAGAGCTTTATGGAAAAATACTTTTGAATTGTCACTTTTTTTGGTACAAGTTCCATCTGGGGAAAGAATTTTTAAAAAGCAGGTAAAAGAGTACCTGGGTCTAAAGTCCTGGGTCCTTAAGTAGCTTTCACCTTCTCCTACCAAAAGAGTGCAACAAATCACATAGCCAACTGCTTTGCAGTACAGCACCATGCACACGCGTTCACCCCTGAACAACATCTGCCTGCTGTAGAGTGTTGGCCAGTTGAGACTCCTGACAGTGTGGAGCATCATGTTCCTGACCCGTATTTCCCTTTAGGATTACCTCAACCTCTCTTGGAACTCAATGACTCTCCTGTCTTCAAAACCATCTTGGAAAGAATGCAGCGTTTCTTCTCCACCCTCTATGAAAACTGGTAAGGAACCAATGCTGCCTCTCCATATTTTCTTCCTGGATATGTATTGTATAGGAATGTCCATGGGTTGGACTTTTCATCTAGTGTACAAGTAAGGTGAGGTAAGAATTTGATAGGAAACTAATGATTCTAGTGTTAAATAGAAATGAACAGCCTGCTTTCCTGCATTTGCTTTTTTTGTAATTGTCGTGTGAGCCTCACAGTCCCCACCTGCTTCATGCCCAACTTGTTTCTAGTGTATAACATGATGAAACCCAAATAGAAGCTAAAAGTGGTGGAGATTGCTTAGACCCTACACTGCTTGCAGCCTACTTACGGGAGTAGGGTGGCTAGATACTGGTTGTGGGTTGGGGAAGTAACTGGCCCTCGCGGGCTTTGGCCTCACTAACCCAGTACACTAATCAGCCAAGCTCATGAGATCCTCCATTGTAAGTCCACATTAAATAGTAATGAAAGCTACTGCTGATCTCGGCCGCCAACATCTGTCTTTTAAAAGATGCTGTATCTATAAGTTCTCTTAAGTAAATATAACTGCTTTTCTGGCTGAAAAATCTTATTGTAGGCTAGAAATGAAATTCATGGGACAGTCAGGGCTGGCAGTAACAGATGTTGGATTTGTCATTGCCAGTGTTTTTTTTCCCCCTTTACAGTTTTCATATCCTAGGGAAGGCAGGCCCTTCCATGCAGCAAGACTTCTATACTGTGGAGGACCTTGCTACCCAGCTTCTCAGCTCAGCCTTTGTCAACTTGAACAATATTCCTGACTACCGACTCAGACCCATGCTTCATATCCTTTCAAAAGTCTCTACATAACCCAAAAGGTCAGAAAATTAGAGACAGAAACAGGTCACAGGAACCAGAGGGAGGAGGCAGAACTAGAAGGAAGAGATGAGATGATGTATCTAAGTGCATCATGTCATTAAAAACACTGGCAGATTGCAGGGAAAACATGAAGGCAGTCCAGATGGCCATAAACTTTTCCTTGCGGGACAAATTTTTACCTTCCCCCCTTCTTGGAAATATTAAAGATAAAGCTTTTTTTTTTTTTTTTTTTTTTTTTGAGACAGAGTATTGCTCACTCTGTCGCCCAGGCTGGAGTATAGTGGCGTGATCTCGGCTCACAGCTTCTGCCTCCCAGGTTCAAGCGATTTTTGTACCTCAGCCTCCCAACTAGCTGTGATTACAGGCGTGCATATTTCTATTTCTTGAGACAGAGTTTTGCTCTATTGCCCAGGCTAGAGTGCAGTGGTACGATCTTGTCTTACTGCAACTTCCACCTCCTGGGTTCAAGTGATTCTTGTGCCTCACCCTCCCAAGTAGCTGGGATTACAGGCACATGCTATTGCACCCAGCTAATTTTTTTGTATTTTTAGTAGAGACAGGTTTTCGCCATGTTGGCCTCAAACTCCTGACCTCAAGTGATCTGCCCGCCTCGGCCTCCCAAAGTGCTGGGGTAACAGGTGTGAGCCACCGTGCCCAACCTAATTTTTGTATTTTTAATACAGACAGGGTTTCACCACGTTGGCCAGGCTGGTCTCCATCACCTGACCTCAAGTGATCCGCCTGCCTCGGCCTCCCAAAGTGCTGGGATTACAGGCATGAGCCACCATGCCCAGCTGTGAAACATAAAACTTTTATCCCTTTTCTGTGTTTTTAGAAGCACTTGCTTTTTTTTTTTTTTTTTTGAGACGGAGTCTCGCTGTGTCTCCCAGGCTGGAGTGCAGTGGCTGGATCTCGGCTCACTGCAAGCTCCGCCTCCCGGGTTCACGCCATTCTCCCGCCTCAGCCTCCCAAGTAGCTGGGACTACAGGCGCCTGCCACCACGCCCTGCTAGTTTTTTGTATTTTTAGTACAGACGGGGTTTCACCATGTTAGCCAGAATAGTCTCGATCTCCTGACCTCGTGATCCACCCGCCTCGGCCTCCCAAAGTGCTGGGATTACAGGCTTGAGCCACCGCGCCCGGCCTAGAAGCACTTGCTTTTTTTTGAGACAGGGTCTCAGTGTTACCTAGGCAGGAGTGCAGTGGTGCTATCAAAGCTCACTGCAGGCTCAAGTGGTCCTCCCACCTCTGCTTCCTGAGGAGTTTGGACTGGACCACAGATGTGCACCACCACACCCAGCTATTTTTTTATTATTATTTGTAGAGATGGGGTCTGCATTATGTTCCCCAAGCTGGTCTCAAACTCCTGGGCTCAAATAATCCTGCCTCAGCCTCCAAAGTGCTAGAATTACAGGCCTGAGCCATCACACCCAGCCAGAAGAAGCACTTTCACACTTCATTCTCATTCAGACCCCTATTACTAGTTGAATCTCTGTCTTTCCTCTTTTTTTTTTTTTTTTTTTTTGGGAGATGAAGTCTCCCTCTGTCGCCCATGCTGGAGTGCAGTGGCACAATCTCGGCTCACTGCACACCTCCTGGGTTCACGCCATTCTCCTGCCTCAGCCACCCGAGTAGCTGGGACTACAGGCGCCCGCCACCACGCTCGACTAATTTTTTTTTTTTTTTTGTATTTTTTAGTAGAGATGGGGTTTCACCATGTTAGCCAGGATAGTCTCGCTCTCCTGACCTTGTAATCCACCTGCCTCAGCCTCCCAAAGTGCTGGGATTACAGGTGTGAGCCACCGCAGCTGCTGAGTGTTTCTTAAACCTGAAATTATAAGGAGAATGGTGAAGGAGGATTTGTTACAAGGATGTCCTCCTTCCTATTTTTTTATTCCTACTTTCTGGCCAGGGACCATAATGTGCAGCCTGACGGAAGTCCTGCTAAACTAAGAGTATAATGGAATTGAATATCAGTGCCATTTAGGATTTTAGGAAAAGAACTTTAAGATTTTTCACTGTTAACACAGGATATTTTTGACATCTGGTAAATCTTTTAGGGATTGATTGTGCCCAGGGGTGCAGCCCACCACCTGACAGGTGAGGGATGTGTACTTATGCACTAAAATTTCTTAACTTGCTGCAGCACGGGTCTTTGTAAAGCCTCTGGTGCTCTTCTGTCCCCCAGAGCACTATGAAGCCCTGGTATCCCCCATCCTCGGACCTCTTTTCACCTACCTCCATATGGTAAGATAAGTCAGGAACAGGAAGCAAAGAGTACTATTAAGGCCTGTGGCCATTTTTGACCCTTGCAAGTCAGGAGCTCCTAGAAGTGTTGTCTCCTAGCCCTGCCAGACTGGCTGGGCAAAGCTTCTACCCCAGCAGACTATCCTTGCTGTAGGATCGAGCAGCTCCCAAAGAACTAAACTGATTTAATTGCCACAAGGCAGCTTCAGTTGCAGATTCTGCTCCTAACCTCCTGTTAACTGAGGAAAGGTAAAAAGAGGAATGCTTGCTCACAGACCCTTGCCAGGAATGCTAGGTCTGTTATCCTGACTCTGGAATTAAACAGGGGACTGGCTGGGAGACCCAGGAATTCTAAAATTGTTAATTCTTTCCAAGCAAAGAAGTGTTTGAGATACCACCCTCAGCATGGATGTGGGACAGGTTATAGAAACCATAGATGGTTTTTTTTTTTTTTTTTTTTTGAGGCGGAGTCTCGCTCTTGTTGCCCAGGCTGGAGTGCAGTGGCCGGATCTCAGCTCACTGCAAGCTCTGCCTCCTGGGTTTAAGCCATTCTCCTGCCTCAGCCTCCCGAGTAGCTGGGACTACAGGCGCCCACCACCTCGCCCGGCTAGTTTTTTTTGTATTTTTAGTAGAGACGGGGTTTCACTGTGTTAGCCAGGATGGTCTCGATCTCCTGACCTCGTGATCCACCCGTCTCAGCCTCCCAAAGTGCTGGGATTACAGGCTTGAGCCACCGCGCCCGGCCCATAGATGGTTTTTTTAACCTTGTGGTGTGGAGTCTACAGAGGTTGTCGTTGATGTCTAGAATCATCCTTGGCTAACTTTAATCATGAAGTGGACTTGACTTTAGATACTATGTATTCCAATCCTTTCCCCAATTCTAGCATTTATTTCCTTTGTGTTTTCCCAGAGGCTTTCCCAGAAATGGCAAGTTATCAACCAAAGGAGCCTGCTCTGGTAAGGGATACCTACCCACTCTTCTTGGTGGATGAGCTGGCAGCCAGATTTGGGGTGGGGAAAGGAAGCGGGCAGGGATTCTGCTGTCGCAGGGTAGAAAAGCAGTAGGTTGTAGTCATTCTCAGTCTAGGTGATACATGGCTTGTCTGGACAGGCTGTGACCAGCAGGCAGACTGAGATCCAGCCTTTATAGGGGCTACTGTTACCTTACTCACTTATTTTGATTCTGTAATGTCTATCCAACTGGACAGAATCACTAGTAATAATGTCCTTCAGTGGATCACTGCTGTCCATTCCCAACTTTTGCATAAAACGAAGACTCGAAGAAAGTGGTCACAGAGAGTCTGATTAGGGTCACTGCTTTCTTTCTGCACTCCTGTGGAACTTGGCCCTCTGGTTTTCTGCAGTGGAGAAGATGAGGCTGCAGATGAAAACCCAGAGTCTCAAGAGATGCTGGAGGAACAACTGGTGAGGATGTTAACCCGAGAAGTCATGGACCTAATCAGTAAGTGGCAAGTAGAAACTGGGGCTATAGAGAATTTTCCTGGAAAAGAGCTGGTCACTCAGCCAACTCCACGAAGGCCTGACTAATGCAAAGGATTCATGTTTGCGGCCTGGCATGGTGGATTGCGAGGTCAAAAGATCGAGACCAGCCTGGCCAACATGGTGAAACTCTGTCTCTCCTAACAATACAAAAATTAGCTAGGCGTGGTGGCGTACGCCTGTAGTCCAGCTACTGGGGAGGCTGAGGTAGGAAAATCGCTTGAACCTGGGAGGCAGAGGTTGCAGTGAGCTGAGATCACACCACTGCACTCCAGCCTGGTGAAAGAGACTCCGTCTCAAAAAAAAGGATTCATGTTTGCAGCAACACTGACAGATCTAAAAGAAATAACTAGACAGAAGCAAGGCAGTGCTGAAGTCAACCTAAGGACAATTTATGAATTGCAAGCTGAATAGTACCAAAGCCAGAATATGGGGAAACAATCTAAAATAGCAGGAGGAATTTGGATTCATTAGGAAAAACTTCCTAGTTTTCTCAAAATATGGAAATGTTTTAAATTCTTGGACATGGAGACTGTTAATTTTCTTTTTGTTTTTACTGTGTCATTTTGTTTGTTTGAGATTCAAAGTAGACCAGGGATGTATCAAGCATCCTCTCCTAGTCACTCACTCTCACAGAATTCTGTAATTTTCTCTCAGCTAGTTGAACTTGAAGGAACAAAACAGGTCGGTCATCAGAATGCCTCTATTTCTATTGGTGAAGCTAATTCTTGTGCCTTGGACAGTACCCCCATCTTCCACCTTCCTCACCTGGCCAGAGACAGGTTGGGATCGGTGGGCCTGAGGTGGCTGTTGTGGTAGTATATACCCACCCTTCACCTAGTAACCCTGCTTTCTTGCTTTAGCGGTTTGCTGTGTTTCAAAGAAGGGTGCTGACCACAGTAGTGCTCCCCCAGCAGATGGAGACGGTAAGTGAGCCTGTGAGACCTTGGAGGTCTGCTCTTAGCCTCCCAAATACTGTTCCTTCTGAACCAGGTCGGTTTCCTTGCAGTCTGGTGAGGAGACACCCTACATCTAGTTGTCATCTCTGGACCAGCCCTCTTGCTGTGTGCCTCCATCATACTCCCACCTCCAAGCCTTTGCACTTGCTGTTTCCTCTGTCTTGGATGATTTTCTCCCAACCATATACGTGATCTATTCCCTTGCTTCATTCCAATGTCACCTCTTCCAAGAGATCATCCATGACCAACCTATCAAAAATACTAACCCCAGCTACTCTGTATTCCTCTGCTTTATTCTTCTTAATAGCACTTGTCACTGCACATTATGTTTTTATTTATGTATTCCTTTCTTACATATTTCCCATGTTAGAATGTAAACTCCCATCAGGGAAGGGATCTATTGTCCTATTCCTTTTATCCCCAGTAACTAGATCAGTGCCTGGTACAGAGGGTGCTCAAATATTTGTCCAACAACAAAGTATCTTCAGTATTTGCAGCTTTTTGTGTTTCTGCCTAGAAGCTCCCGTTTCCCTCATGTACGGCTTGGGTGTATCTCTAGAAGATTGGCCATGGGCATGGGCTATTATTATGTGGAGGTGGGAGGGGTCCCAGTACTACTTAGCCACCAGTTAACCTAGAACACTCAGCTTTGCTTTTTTTTGCGCTTCTGTCAGAACAAGATATTCTTCTCTGTTCTGAAAAGATGGAGCTTAACATTCTACTCTCTGATAACAGATGAAGAAATGATGGCCACAGAGGTCACCCCCTCAGCTATGGCAGAGCTTACAGACCTGGGCAAATGTCTGATGAAGCATGAGGTGGGTAGAAGGAACAGGTGATACCTTTACTCCTTGCCCAGGTGGGGAGCCACCTTTTACTTTTCTTGCTCTATGGTGCTATCAAGAGTTTTTTGTAATACTCTTTTGTTATGTAAGTTCCTGGTTCTTAAGGCCCCAGAAAAAAACGAGGGAAAAGGTGCAATGCCAAAGTGTCTCCCATACCAGCCTAGGCAGGGGCTCTCAGGAAAACACATAGTAGGCACACTGATGCAGATCCCTGGTGTTTAGCCTCCCCCAGCGAGGCCTGAGCTTTGTCTCCATCCTGTACATACAGGTTTTCTCACATTTTGGTTTTTTCTTTTTGACTGGCAATACACAAAAATAGAGGAAGTAAACTCACTTCTTTTATTTTTCCTGCTTCGCTATTTAAAACTCCAGCTCCTAAGCCAGGCATGGTGGCGCACACCTGTAGTCCCAGCTGTTTGGGAGGCTGAGATGGGAGAATAGCTTGAGCCCAGGAGTTCAAGACCAGCCTGGGCAACAAAACAAGGACCCCATCTTTAGAGGGGGGAGGAAAAAAAAAACAACCTCCAGCTCCTGATGTATAAGAATAATCAGAGAAAATTGTGCTGCTTTTCCCACTGTAATCCTTCATCCTTTCCTGTTCAGGATGTTTGTACAGCGCTATTAATTACAGCCTTCAATTCCCTGGCCTGGAAGGATACTCTGTCCTGCCAGAGGACGACCTCACAGCTCTGCTGGCCTCTCCTCAAACAAGTATGGTGGTTCACCCCTTTTCCCTGCCCCTCATAGAAGGTTTGGGTCATGCAGATTGACTAAATCATTCAGAAGAATTGGGGTGCTGAGGCCTTGAGAGAGGCCCCCTGTGGCCCTAAAGCACAGCTGTCTCCCCAGGTGCTGTCAGGGACACTGCTCGCAGATGCAGTTACGTGGCTTTTCACCAGTGTGCTGAAAGGCTTACAGATGCACGGGCAGCACGACGGGTGCATGGCTTCCCTGGTCCATCTGGCCTTCCAGATATACGAGGCGTTGGTGAGTGGGGAAAGCATGGGGGCAGGATGGCTGCAGCTTTATCACTCAGTCTGCTTCTAGTCTCTTGGGCCTTATCCTAAATCCAGGCACCTGCCAAATTGCTGGTGCTAGCTCTGAGAAATGGGTGTGGCAGGAAATGGGGAGGGTGGCAATAACCTACATCCAGTAAGTTTATTCCTGCTGGTATCAGCGCCCCAGGTACCTGGAGATAAGAGCTGTAATGGAGCAAATCCCTGAAATACAGAAGGACTCACTGGACCAGTTTGACTGCAAGCTTTTAAACCCCTCCCTGCAGAAAGTGGCTGACAAGCGCCGAAAGGACCAATTCAAACGCCTCATTGCTGGTTGCATAGGGGTAGGTCACGAACCTTCATTAGTGCACCCAACCCCCTTCTTAAATCATGTGTATGGGCAAACCTTATAAACCAACTGTAGTTATTGACCATTATGGTGATATAATTTTTTTTTTTTTTTTTTTTTTGAGACAGGGTTTCATTCTTGTTGCCCAGGCTGGAATGCAGTGGTGCAATCTCAGCTCACCACAGCCGCCACCTCCTAGGTTCAAACGATTCTCCTGCCTCCGCCTCCCAAGTAGCTGGGATTATAGGCATGCGCCACCACACCTGGCTAATTTTTTGTATTTTTAGTAGAGACATGGTCTCTCCATGTTGGTCAGGCTGGTCTTGAACTCCTGACCTCAGGTGATCCACCCGCCTTGGCCTCCCAAAAGTGTTGGGATTACAGGTGTGAGCCACTGCGCCAGACCAAGAGAATCTTCAACTACTACTTAGGGCCCAGCATTAATTCTTTCTCATTTGTTTTCCACAGAAACCCTTGGGAGAGCAGTTCCGAAAAGAAGTTCACATTAAGAATCTTCCCTCACTTTTCAAAAAAACAAAGCCAATGCTGGAGACAGAGGTGCTGGACAATGATGGGGGTGGCCTGGCCACCATCTTTGAACCCTGAATCAATTTTTTGGGCATCCTTCCTCGGCCTTTCTTGTCATCTCTTCTTTCCCTTTGTAGCTAATCTCTAGGCCCTTCTTGCACTGCCACCTCACTTTCCACTATTGTCAGCCTGGAGAGAGATCCAGGTCTGGAGCTGGAGAGAACAGGCCCTGTGCAGGACCAGAAGTAATTATACTAAAGTATCAAGAAAGGGAGTTAGGGCTTAAACCATTCTGTCTAGATGTCCCAGATAGTTCCCATTCTACTTGGAGATTTGGCTTTTCCAAGAAAAGCTAGAGCAGAGCAGCCCTTCTCCCACAAGCCCTCCCACCCCTGTGCAGCCACATACCTGTACAGAATGGTAACTAGGGATGCTGTGCCCAACACTGCGACTAGCAAGGCTCGCAGCAAGAGCACAGCCCTCAACTACTTGTGCCAGAGTTTCTCTTGGACCACTCCAACTCCCACTGAGCCCTTTTGCTGCTGGGCTGGCAGGAAACTTGCCCCACTCCCTAAGGGGCACGTCTGGGTTAGGTGCTAAGTGCTGAAAAGAACTTGGCCAGTTCTCTCAACTTTGCTTTGGGCAAGAATCTGGTCACCTGATGGGACGCATGGTATAGGCTACTGCTAAACTTGGCACAGTGTCAAGTATAGTACCTCCAAGGACCAGGGCTGGGCAGTCTTTAGTGCTAACATCCCCTTTAGAGCTCACACATCTTGCCCTTCCATGAATGACCCCTCAGTTTGGCTTCCCCAGCCTCAAGGTCCACTCAGGCACAAGAGCCACAGTACCCTAGAGAGTGTCACATGACACCATTGTCATCCAAGGATAAAACAGACCAACTAGGCTATATCTGTGATAAGCAGCTAGCAAAGCCACTGGTCTTCTAGGACTAAGACCAGGTGCCTTCCGCAATCTCATGGTCTTTCAGGTCCCTGGTTACTTTTCTCAAAGACCATCTCCAAAAGAAAAGAATACATGCCTTCGCATCACAACCTGTACTGTGAGTCCATTCTAGAGGTCACTGAAAGGCCCTATAAACAGGACTCGGATATGGGACCTGGCCCTGACATTATTACTGGCCATAAAGGCAGACTTAATCCATACAGAAACCAGTGTGTCCATGTGCTCTGCACAAAAACAGACCTGTTGTCCACCAATCCACTGACAAGAGGGTTTCCATGAGAGCCGAAGTGGACTGAAGCTATAGTTTTTAGCTGGTGTGGGCCAGAGGCAGGGTCAGATTGGGAAGAGGCAAAGCTGAGGAAGCAGAAGTTGGAGTCTCATGTTGCTCCCTCTTCCCGTGTGGTGCTCTGGGTTCCTGTGGATTGTGAAGGCGATCTCAAGAGTGTTTCCCTCCAAACCTGATAGCTGCCTATTCCTGTCTGGTTGGGGCTGTGGAGGGTGTAGTTGTATTTATTGTGTTGTAATATTTTTAACATCCTGTGACTTCATGCTAGAAGTTTTCTATTGTTTATAGAAACTTTTTGTAGAAACATTAACTCCAAAGCACATCTGCATGTCAGTAAAAGTCTCAGTTTCATACAGAAAGGGACCCATCTGCCTTTTTCAACCTAGTCTTAAAACCAGTGACATACTCCAGAGTTACTCCATGAGCACCCTGCAAAAGGGGACTGAACAGGAAGAAATGTGACTGATGAACCTGGTCTTTCAAGCTTTCTGAAATGGTGTGCCAGTTAGAAAAGGATTTCTATCCTGACACACCCAGACTAGGCAGCCCATACCATTCTCACAGTGTCTTTCATATGTGGCTGCTGGGCCTGGCCCAAAGGAATTGCTACTGTTCTTTGTTGGAGCTGTCAATAGCGGCATGAACTTCCCTGGTAATCCGGGAGACAGGTGAAATGGTGCATTCACTCTAGCTTGAATGTTTTTCTAGGGGTTTGGCTGTACTCCCAGAAACCACCTTAATTTGCCAATTCTCAGGAGGTGTTTTTTGTTGTTTTTGAGACAGGGTCTCACTGTTACCCAGGCTGGAGTGTACATCTGATGTTCTTAATTGCTAAAGGTCAAACCAGTTCTGAAGTGAGGCCCTGTTTTTCGCAGTGGCTCACACCTGTAATCCCAACACTTTGGGAGGCCCCAAGGCAGACAGATCACTTGAGGTCAGGAGTTTGAGACCAGTCTGACCAATATGGTGAAACCCTCTCTCTACTAAAAATACAAAAAATTACACATAGCCAGGCGTGGTGGTACACACCTGTAGTCCCAGCTACTCAGGAGGCTGAGGCAAGAGAATTGCTTGAACCCAGGAGGAGGAGGTTGCAGTGAGCAGAGATTGCACCATTGCACTCCAGCCTGGGCAACAGAGTGAGACTCTGTCTCAAAAAATACAAAAGTTGTCTCAAAAAGTTTTGTTTGGACATGAGTTTATTTACATCTAAGGCCTTACAAAGGCCTAAAAGTCTCATTTTATGGCACATTTAACAAAATGTATTGATTAAAAATAAAGCTGGAATTGTCCCAGAAAACTCAGGATCCCTAGTCACACTGGGCTCTCTGTACAGCAGTCCTGTAGGGTGGGTCAGTCAGAACCCAAAGCTTCAGCTTGCCTCAGGAACATCCAAGCTCAGTCCATCTGAACCGCATCTAGTTCATCCAAGAAGCGCCGGCACTTCCCCATCAGTACTTTGATGGCTTCACTCACCAGCACATCTGGTGGCAACACCCCCGTTGACTCAACAGAGACTGGGGATCAAAGAGACACTTTAGCCTAGGCGGGGCTTGCCTGTAGAAAGCCCCTGTTACTCAAACTTCACATCTAGACTGGAAGGAAGCTGCAGCACCAAAGAGTACTGCCCACTCATCTCACCACTTCATACTCACAGATATAATGATCTCGAACCCGGGCAAGCCTCACAACCTTCTTTAGCTTCTCATGCCGGAAGATTTCTCTGCTGAAGGTATCCAGCCGGGGGTTGGCAACTCTGGCCACCTTTTTACCTAATGAGAACAAACCACGTTTTTTTATTCTTTTTTCTAATTTGCCCCTTGGTAGCAAACCATGTTATACTTTTAGGAACCCAGGGTTTTTATTTCTGTCACCTTCAAAGAAAATATAATTTAGGTCCTAACCTGAACAGCACCCCAAATACCATACCTTGGACTTCCTGCACCTCAATAACACCAGGTGAGAAGCACCTGCTCAACTCCTCAGCTGCCTCCCCTTCCACGGGCTCAAGCAGGGTGATGTCTGGCAGGAGCCTATAACTGGCTGTTGCCACTGGTGAAAACTTGGCATGATCTTTGCCTGGAGAGGAAGAGAGAAAGTGCCTATACGAAACCCTTCTAGGATTAGGAAGAATACTCTTCCTAAGCTGCTAACAGCAAAAGCACGATGCTCTTGGCTTTCTACCTGCTAGGAATATCTCAGCTGAGTTCCCTAGTCAGCTTGCCCCACTGCAACCAAACTACCCCTCTTCCCAGGAAGGAACACAGGGTTCTCACCAATGCCCTTGACACAGTGCATAAGCAGGTCAATTTCTTGGCCAGGCCGCAGCTGAGCAATGAGGATGTCATCGTGCACTGGTCGGATAGTGCCCTCTGGGAAAAGATCAGCCTGATTCCCCAGGGGGATCCATGTCATATGCCTGGTATACACTGGAGGAAAAACATGTCAAAAGATTTCAGTTCCTAAAACTAGCAGCCACCCACAGGTGGGGCCTCTTCCTCACCCTACCACTACTTACCTTTGTGGTTCACATACAGTTCGTTGGGGTCAGAGGAATCTTTAGCAGCATGGGGGTTCCGAGTGCATCTGACTTGGAGACGAAACCGTAGGGTATCTATCTCTGTGCCGTCTTCATCTCCTGCACAAATGGAGGGAGCTCTTAAGAACTAGTAAACATCTGGCCGGGCGCGGTGGCTCAAGCCTGTAATCCCAGCACTTTGGGAGGCCGAGACGGGCGGATCACGAGGTCAGGAGTTCGAGACCATCCTGGCTAACACGGTGAAACCCCGTCTCTACTAAAAAATACAAAAACTAGCCGGGCGAGGTGGCGGGCGCCTGTAGTCCCGGCTACTCGGGAGGCTGAGGCAGGAGAATGGCGTAAAAACCCGGGAGGCAGAGCTTGCAGTGAGCTGAGATCCGGCCACTGCACTCCAGCCTGGGCGACACAGCGAGACTCCGTCTCAAAAAAAAAAAAGAAAAAAAAAAAAAGAACTAGTAAACATCTGAGTGCCAGCACTATGCTGAATGCTTTACATATGTGTCCCATTTAATTACGGCAAACTTGGGAAGCCAAGGCAAGTGTTCTCACAGATGAAAAACACTGATGTACAAACATAAGTAACTTACCCAACATCACAGTCAACCAGGATTTGAACCCAGACAGTCCACTTCTCCCAAAATTTCATTTTCTTACCTTGATTCCGATACTCAAAAAGACGGGGATCAGCATGAATGGGAATGAGCCCCAGACGGTGAGCAAGGATCTCATCCTGAACAATGGATGTATTATTGTACACCAGGACCTTCTCCACAGCCATAGTTGGCACCTGCCCAAGGAAAAATAACCACTTATCTGCAAAAACCCAACAGACCCCCTACCTATCCCCACAACCCCACCCTCCAGAGGTAAGGAGCTATCTCTCTTCCTAGAATGTTTAATGAGAAATTTACAAAGAATGAGAAGGTAAAATGCTCAGCAAAATTCCAGGAAAAATGAGGGAAGGACAGCTTGAGACAATTCTCCAAGTGAGGTGTCAGTGCAGTTCCCAAAGCAACTCCAGCCTTGTCACCATGCCTGCCAATACCTCAGCTAACAGAATTCGTCGAAAAGCATTGGCAATGGCTGCGTCAATTCCCACCATGTCGAACTCCAGTGAGTTTTCATCCATGTGTACTACATCCACACGGAAATTCTAGAGGGACAGGAAAAACATTTAAGTGAAACCTGCTCTCTCTGTAATATCTCTTCATACCTCCCCCTTAGATAATTCCCTCAAGTATTATCCTCTCATCCAAAAACCTCCCTTTGCCCAGATGTCCCTTATTAAATATTCTTTCTCGCCCAGTGCTTTAGTTTCATAAAAAGTCTCCATTTTTGTCGTCCATTCATTAAAACCCTATGCAATATGGCTTCCAACCAAACCATCCACAGAAGCTATTCCACTAAAGAACAGAAACTACCATAGTGCTTAGTCCTGTTGACACTACCCAGTCCTCTTACTAGACTTCTGTTATGCTTGACATTGATTAAAAAACCTCCTCTGGGCCCAGCACGGTGACTCACACCTGTAATCCCAGCACTATGGGAGGCCGAGGGGCGGATCACAAGGTCAGGAGTTTGAGACCAGCCTGGCCAGCATGGTGAAACCCCGTCTCTACTAAAAATACAAAAAATTAGCTGGGCATGGTGGCGCGTAGCTGTAGTCCCAGCTACTCGGGAGGCTGAGGCAGGAGAACTGCCTGAACCCAGGAGGCGGAGGTTGCAGTGAGCCAAGATTGCACCACTGCACTCCAGCCTGGGAGATAAGAGTGTCTCATGAAAAGGAAAAAAAAAAAAAAAATCCCCTTTTTTGAACGATTCCCCTGGTTTCTGAGCTCCACTCTTCTTCCATCTCTGATGATCAACTTCCACCCATCTCTAAATTTGCCAGGTTCTTGTCTCTCTCCCAGGTCACCTTAACTGTACTAACAGTTTTAGCAACTATCTGTTCTGACAACTCCCAAAATTTTATCTCACTTCTGATCTCATTTCAAGCATGCAGTCTTCTAGCCTGCTAGATTTCCCCACATACAGAAAACAATGCATCATCATCCCTGTTCCCCAGACCCATTTCTCCTCTTAGTAAATGATACCACAAAGCAAAAAGCAGTTCCCAAGCCAGAAAAAGTCATTTTATGCTACCCCCACAGCCTTTATCCAAGCAATCATAAATTTACCTTATATTCTTCCTTTGCTCTATTTCTACCATCAGTCTTAGTTCATATCTTCAACCTCAGCTTCCCTTACAACAGATCTGCCTGCTCCATATGATCCTCCTCAAACTCATTCCCTCCCAGCCATCAAGGTTACAAATCTGATCATGTCTGCTTAAGAAACTATTCAAGCTCCCTATCATCCACAGTGTGACACACTTCAATCTTGCCGACCACTCATGCCAGAACTACTTGGACATTCCCGGAGCACATGTCACAGAAGTCATAATTTTTTTTCAAGCATTAGCCTTTTTCATTGTTCATACTTTATTCCTTGTATCAACAGGTTAAAAAAGTAAAATTTTCCCAGGCACTGATTTACACATCATGTTTATAAGCTGCATAAAGGGTAACATTTAGGTCAGTTGCATAAAGGGTAACATTCAGTAATCTATTTAAATGCAATTTTAACCCTTATTTTAAGCTAAGTGAAACAATAATACAAAAGACTAAATACACACAAAACCTGCATATCCTGAACTTCACTGACGTGAAACTCAAATCTTTCATAATTCAACTCCTGTTTTTTTTTTTACTTACCATTCAAGGTTCAATTCAGGTGTCCCCTCCTCTTGAAATGTTAAGTACCTCTCGGCCCCTCTTCCTGGTCTCAGCGGAATGCTCCCCACCCCAACCCTGCCGTCTTCATCGCTATCAACCACCTTCACCATATTACACTAGATGCACTTGTTTATACGCACCATTCCTCAACAAGACGGAATATCTCTGCAGAGATAGAAACCGTGTCTAATTTGGCCTGTAAACGGAGCGTCTAGCACATTGCTCAACAAACACAAACGGAGCGACCCCCAAAAGCAGCTGCTGAGACAGACACAGGCTGCTCAGGCCACAGGGTCTGGCCTTCATAACCCTCCCCAGACAACTTCGGCCCCACTTACCTTCTCGAAGCGGTCCTGGTCCCAGGCATCATCATAACCGGAATAGTTTCCGGGAAAGTCAGTGGTATGGACCTAGAGCAAAGGGACGAGTTTGTCCACAAAGGGACAATGAGCCCATGGCTATCCCCACGCCAATCCCAAGACCCACCCCTGTTCCGCTCTCATTCCTCCCGCCCGAGCTCAAGGCCACAAGGCTTACATTGCGAACCCCAAACTCCCCTAGAACCACGCGGCCCCGCATCTCCTCCACCGCCTGAGAAGCCGCCATCTTCAATCTCTCCACGAGACTGGAGGCTCTATCTGGCGCGTGCGTCCTAGTAGACTGGCTCCGTCTCCGTGGCAACGCGCCACCGCCTGGAATCTTAAATATCGCGAGACTTTTCCCCGCTTCCGTCCACGTCCCCAGCCTCCGGAAGTTGGTTTTGTCCAAACATCCGGGCTTCTCTTTTTTGTGTTCCGGCCGATCCCACCTCTCCTCGACCCGGGACGTCTCCCTCACTAAGGCCCACGTCTCGCCCACTCCTCCGCGCGCGGGGCTAGCGCGGGCTTCAGCGACGGGAGCCTTCAAGGGACATGGCAACTACAGCGGCGCCGGCGGGCGGCGCCCGAAATGGAGCTGGCCCGGAATGGGGAGGGTTCGAAGAAAACATCCAGGTAATGGCCCCAAGGCACTAGCTGCCAGCAACCCGAGGGCCAGCGATGTCCAGAAGTGTCTTGAGGATTCTCCCTGTGGGCCTGGAAGTCCGCTCCATTTGCAAAACTCTCTTCTTTGGGTCTTCGTGCACACTAAAGTCAGTAGGATTAACATTGACCTGAAAGGGCCAGACTAGTACTCCAGCCTGAGGGTCTCGGGTCTCTGGGCCCGCTCGAGGCATTAGGAAGAAGGTATTCTTGGAACAAGTTAGGAAGTTGGTCGGGGTCAGGCATGGAGTGGGGTTGGGTGGGATTCACTGGCATTCGCTGAAAACATATTATGTGTATAGTTTTGTTTGGGGCTTAGGAAAGAAGGAAATGGGCACTTTTTCAGCCTTTTAGTCTTTGGTAGGTAAGGTAGGAAAAAGACAGGAATGGAAGACTAGTAGTATGTTTCCCAGGCTAGAAAATTCAGCCAAAGCTAGAAACCAAGAGTTCTGAGAGCATATGAGGGGGAATGGAGTGGCATGATCTGTAGTGATTCCGAGCCGTATCCTCAGCAGTGGAAGAACAAAGCCCTAAACCCTGGGATGAGCAGAGGACTTAATGGATGGAACAGAAAAGTCCTGCACTCTAGGAGCCATTGTCTTCACAGGGCGGAGGCTCAGCTGTGATTGACATGGAGAACATGGATGATACCTCAGGCTCTAGCTTCGAGGATATGGGTGAGCTGCATCAGCGCCTGCGCGAGGAAGAAGTAGACGCTGATGCAGCTGATGCAGCTGCTGCTGAAGAAGAGGATGGAGAGTTCCTGGGCATGAAAGGCTTTAAGGGACAGCTGAGCCGGCAGGTGGCAGATCAGGTAAGCATGATTGAATCTTCTGCAGGTGGAAAGGTATACCTAGGTATGTCCCATGTTCTGGAGTTGGTGTTGGTGATGTTTGCCCCAGGTTGTCCAGTTAGAACCATGTAGAAATCAAGCGGAAAATAGGCAACAGGGTCTAGAACCAACAGTCCCACAATACCTATGCCCATCTTCCTTACTTCAGATGTGGCAGGCCGGGAAGAGACAAGCCTCCAGGGCCTTCAGCTTGTACGCCAACATCGACATCCTCAGACCGTACTTTGATGTGGAGCCTGCTCAGGTGCGGAGCAGGTGAGGAGCCTTCTCTTGAAGAAGCTTCCCTCCTAACACCTAGTCCTTTATGCACACTACAATCAGATTTCAAGCCCTGGGCTCTGGTGGGCTCCCCCTCTTCATGACCCCATCATCTCTCATCACTACACCTGTCACTGAAACAAATAATAATAGCTACCAACTTTCTCCTTTTTTCCATCTAGCTGACTACTCATATTCCCTCAAAACCTACCTCAGATGTCACTTCCTCTGTTCCACATTCCTCAATCCCACCCCCAGTTTGTTCTCTCCTGGTGTTCCTATAGAACTTTGTGCTTGGCAGCCGGGCGCGGTGGCTCACGCCTGTAATCCCAGCACTTTGGGAGGCTGAGGCGGGTGGATCACAAGAGCAGGAGATCGAGACCATCCTGGCTAACACTGAAACCCCGTCTCTACTAAAAATACAAAAAAAATTAGCCGGGCGTGGTGGCAGACACCTATAGTCCCAGCTACTTGGGAGGCTGAGGTAGGAGAATGGCATGAACCCGGGAGGCAGAGCTTGCGGTGAGCCGAGATCGCGCCACTGCGCTCTAGCCTGGGCCACAGAGCGAGACTCCATCTAAAAAAAAAAAAAAAAAAAAAAAAAGAACTCTGTGCTTGCCTCTAATAGACAGCACTTCACCACTGCTTTCCTTTCTTATTCCTGGAATCTTCCCCCCAGAGACCAACAGCATCTCAAAAGCAGGCTCTGTCTTGTTTATCTTTTTATTCCCAGCAGCAGAACAGTCTCAGAATCAAAATATCAGGGCATAGTTTTTGAGTGACTTTTCAAGAACTAGATTTAATCCTGGCTTGGTTTTTTTGTTCGTCCTTTAATCAATGCTAATCAAATACCCAGGACCACTCTGCAAGTATTTATTAAGCATTTGCTCTGTGCCAGACCCTATACTAATTGTATCTGGTTCAGTGGTGAAGATAGATAGGAGCCTTGCTCTTGAGTGCAGTTACAGCACAGTATTCATGCTATGATGGGGCACACAGGAGGGATATGTGAGCCAAAGCAGGTTGGTGGATGGGACAGGACAAGTTTCCCAGAGGAAGTAAAATCTAGCTAAAATCCAAGGTATGATTAGGAGCTAGCCACTTGAGAGAAGGGGCAAGTGACTGAATTTTCATACCACTTCACATATAGTTTTCAAGAAAATGCTCGACAGTACCTGGAGGCACAGTTAAGCAGGAAGAGGAGGCGTTTTTACTATTCCCTCAGTAACACCTTTCATTCTAAACCTTCCATCTAGCCCGCTAGACTTTTCCCAGGGCTTCCTCATTATAGCCCTGAATTCTGGGTACTCTCTGCTGAGGTCTGCCTGTCTTGTCTTGTCTTTTTATTTTGTTTTGTTTTTTTGAGATGGAGTCGCACTCTGTCACCAGGCTGGAATGCAGTGGCGCGATCTCTGTTCACTGCAACCTCCACCTGCCAGGTTCAAGCAGTTCTCCTGCCTCAGCCTCCTGAGTAGCTGGGACTACAGGCACCCGCCACCATGCCCAGCTAATTTTATGTATCTTTCATAGAGACGAGGTTTCACCATATTGGCCAAGCTGGCCCCTAACTGCCGACCTTGTAATCTGCCCGCCTCAGCCTCCCAAAGTGCTGGGATTACAGGTGTGAGCCACCGCGCTCAGCCTGCCTGTCTTGTCTTTTTTTTTTTTTTTTTGAGACGGAGTCTCGCTTTGTGGTCCAGGCTGGAGTGCAGTGGCCGGATCTCAGCTCACTGCAAGCTCCGCCTCCCGGGTTTACGCCATTCTCCTGCCTCAGCCTCCCGAGTAGCTGGGACTACAGGCACCCGCCACCTCGCCCGGCTAGTTTTTTGTATTTTTTAGTAGAGACGGGGTTTCACCGTGTTAGCCAGGATGGTCTCGAACTCCTGACCTCGTGATCCGCCCGTCTCGGCCTCCCAAAGTGCTGGGATTACAGGCTTGAGCCACCGCGCCCGGCCTGCCTGTCTTTTCAAGGGGAGGGGGCAGATGGATACATGGTTAGGCTCTCCGTCAAGGCCCAGCAGGGCTGAGTTCTCCATATAGCTGCTGTTTCAGTCAGCTAAGTTTCAGAGGGTTGTCCTTCCTGGAAGTTAATTTTAGAGGCAAGGAAATGATTTCCTTATTCCCTATCTGTCTTTACTACCCTGTTCTACCCTGTCATCCGACATGTCCTCTAGGCCAGGCCCCATTCCCTGGAGTTAGAGATGAATAAAATTCAGGCCGTGCCCTCCAGAACCTCATGGCCTCGGGCTGCCTCTGCTTTAATCTCTCCTCTCCTTTCCCAGGCTCCTGGAGTCCATGATCCCTATCAAGATGGTCAACTTCCCCCAGGTGAATAGGGGGTGGCACGTCTGGAGAGTGGGGGGAAGCACCAGGGCAGAGGGTGGGACCACCAGGCAAATCCTGGGAAGCCATAAACAGACGAGCTGTTGTACCCTCCAGCCTGAATGACTTGGTATATTGACAGAAAATTGCAGGTGAACTCTATGGACCTCTCATGCTGGTCTTCACACTGGTTGCCATCCTACTCCACGGGATGAAGACGTCTGACACTATTATCGTAAGCAGGACAGACAACTTTGGGGGGGTGGCTGCACTAGGTTGAAAGCTGCCTGAGGATGCGGTGGTGGAGTGAGACAGGAACCGCCCCTGCGGAAGGCCCTAGGTGAGGCTGAGATCAGAGGCCTCCTAGGACTAAGTAGAGCCTTCACCCCACAGCGGGAGGGCACCCTGATGGGCACAGCCATTGGCACCTGCTTCGGCTACTGGCTGGGAGTCTCATCCTTCATTTACTTCCTCGCCTACCTGTGCAACGCCCAGATCACCATGCTGCAGATGTTGGCACTGCTGGTAAGGAGCCAGGCGTGGTGGGCAAGAGTGATGTTAAAAAGAGTAGCCAGGCCTTGGTCTGCATCTGTCCTGGGGCCCCGAAGCCTGGAATGGGAGGAGTAGGCCAATGGACCGTGTGTTTCCCACGGTCCCCATGAGAGGCCAGAAACCAGCCCAACCTGAGTGATTCCCCTCTCCACCATCCTCCTTCCCAGGGCTATGGCCTCTTTGGGCACTGCATTGTCCTGTTCATCACCTATAATATCCATCTTCACGCCCTCTTCTACCTCTTCTGGCTTTTGGTGGGTGGACTGTCCACACTGCGCATGGTAAGCTGGGCAAGAGGCTTCCAGGGGTGGGCTGTCCTCCCAGGGAGTTGGGGAAGACAGCCTGGAGCTGTCCATCTCACAAAGAGCCCTAAATGGGAGGGAAGGGCCCAAAGATGGTTCTGCCCTGGGTGGGAGTGTCTTCCCCACTCCTCACTTTGGAGCCAGGCCCTTTGAGCTGTATTCTCATGGCCCTAGGTAGCAGTGTTGGTGTCTCGGACCGTGGGCCCCACACAGCGGCTGCTCCTCTGTGGCACCCTGGCCGCCCTACACATGCTCTTCCTGCTCTATCTGCATTTTGCCTACCACAAAGTGGTAGAGGGTAAGTGGCAGGAAGGCCTGGGTGGGGGAGAATGGGACAGCAGCTGCCTAGGGCAAGAAGCTGGATATCATGGTCAGTGGGCTGGGCCCATCTGACCCTTGCTCACCTTCCATCTTCCTTCCAGGGATCCTGGACACACTGGAGGGCCCCAACATCCCGCCCATTCAGAGGGTCCCCAGAGACATCCCTGCCGTGCTCGCTGCTGCTCGGCTTCCCACCACCATCCTCAACGCCACAGCCAAAGCTGTTGCGGTGACCCTGCAGTCACACTGACTCCACCTGAAATTCTTGGCCAGTCCTCTTTCCCACAGCTGGAGAGAGGAGGAAGACTATTAAAGGACAGTCCTGATGACATATTTCTTAGATGGGGTCTGCAGCTGCCACTGAGCTGTAGCTGCGTTAAGTACCTCCTTGATGCCTGTTGGCACTTCTGAAGGGCACAAGGCCAAGAACTCCTGGCCAGGACTGCAAGGCTCTGCAGCCAGTGCAGAAAATGGGCCAGCTCCTCTGAGACCCCTCACCACCTACCCCTTCCTTCCTCTTTATCTCTCCCACACTGTCTTGCTAAATATAGACTTGGTAATTAAAATGTTGATTGAAGTCTGGAACTGCAGCGGCTGATCCAGTGGTCCTCCCTGTCATCCCACTTACTATATACTTTCATGCTCAATCAGCAGTGGTAATGTCGTATGTTCCCTTTTTCATATCCTCACCCAGACAGGATAAAGGTGGGACAGGCCAGACTACATAGAAGGCAGTGCTTGAATATGGAACCTACCCCTGAGGGCAGGGGACACCTGACCCATGAAGCGGCAGGGAGGCCTCAAGCACAAAAGCCATAAGCCTGATGGAACACTGCAGCCAGCTTGAGTCTGGGCTCAGCTGCACTCTTGGGAAGCCAAGGAAGCAGTGACAATTGGACAAAACATCCCGACTTAAACCCCGTGTCAAAACAAGGATCTTCTGCTCCTGGGCATTGTGGGGATAATTTTCCTGTGGAGCTCATAATTGAAGCCAAACTTGGCTTTGCCCTGGTGGTACTGGGGCCAGCTCCTTTCAGTTTTTCTGTCTTTCCTCATAAAACCAACCACCACTCCTAACATAGCACCATCCACCCCCCGCACCACCACCTCTTTAGTCTGCTCCACTTAATTCTGGTGGCTAAAAGAGGGAATACGGCCTTTGACCTTCCTTCACTATATTGAATATTATGTTTTATGTACAATAATCTCCTTACACTAGTAAATCTGGGTCAGCAGCCTCTATCCCTCCTAACAAAGGGACTAACAGAAAGAGGTGCCCTTCATTTGTCCTGCGTTACGTAAGTGAGGCCCCCACCACCCTGGCCAGTGGACAAAGTTGCCACAGTACCGCCTGCACCGTGGAGTGTGACTCAGCTGCCTTCACGTCCTCACCAGTGCTCCAGGGCTCTGGCCCTGGCACCTCCTCTGTATTGGCAGCCCCAGTGTCGCGGCAGGGACACACCCTCAGATGTCAACAGTGCCCTGCATACCTGGAAAAGGCGTGGCACCAGGACCTTGCATCTATCTGAGGCTTCCCTGCCCTAGGGACCCTCTGGGGTTCCCTTCTCCCCAGCAGCTCAGGCAGGCTCTGCCCAGCCGTGGCCCCCGGGGCCTCCCTGGTGAGGCCGCCATCTTGGCGAGAAGCAAGTGGGAAGTCCCCGTGGACCGGGATCCCCATGCACGCTGCTTCTCGAGTCACGAGGGCAGGGCGAGGCGCGGCACGGAAGAAAAGGCCCTGGGGCCTTCGAAATAGGAGGGAACAGTGCCCTGGAGCCCGGCGAGGGCCTGGACCTTAGGAACGGGGAAGGATGGGAGAATGGGCAGAAGCAGCAGTAACCGTGTCTACCACCACCTCCACATGGCGTGCCTCCATTCCGCTCCCCGTCAGCCCTCCCCAGTCAGCCCATCCTAGGCCTCAGCCCTGTCGCCTTCCTTCTGCTAGCTAGCTGACCCCACTCTCACGGGAAGAGCGGCCTATCGCTCCCAGCTCCCTGCCCCGAACCACCCGTGTGCGCAGACCTCGCGGGCCAGCGTGGCCTTGGCCGGGCAGGGGGCGGGGCGAGCGGCGATGACGCGGCCGTTGCCATGGAAACTCGCCGCCCGTTAGCTCTCTGGAGCTGGAGCCCGAGTGGCAGCCGCCCGCCTCAGGCTCTCTCTGCCAGCCGTGCGGCCAGGCCCGCGGTGTGGTCGGGGGAGCCGGGCGGCAGAGAAGGAAGGAGCAGGTACGGCCTCCCAGCCGGGACCGGTAAGCCGAAGCCCTTGAGCCGCTCGCTGCCGCCGCGACCGCGAGGAACAAGGACGAGCGCGGAGCAGCGCCTGCCCAGCCCCCGGAACGCGCACCCGGCCCAACGCCCAGACACGGACCGTGCGAGCTGCCCCCGCCCCAGTGCCGCCCCACCTCAGCCCGGCCCGCGCCCTGGACGCCTCCGCACCTCGGGCCGGCTCCGGCTCAGTCCCGGTAGCTCTTCTCCGCCCCCGCCGCAGCCTCCGCCGCAGCCGCAGCCTCCGCCACAGCCTCCGCCTCCGCCCCCGGCCCCACTCCGCCCGCGACCCCAGCCGGGGCCCCGACCCCGGCCCTATCCCCGGCCCTGCCCGCGGCCCCGCCAACCTCCCCTCCGGCCCCGTACCCGGAGGCCCAGCCGTGGGCACGATGCTGCCCAGCTCCATCCAGATTTCGGGGGAGCCGCTGTCCGGCGCCGAGGTGCGGGACATCTGCCGCGGCCTGCGCGACAACGCCGTGCGCCTGCTCTCGCTGCGCGGCTGCCGCCTCTGCGACCGCGACTTCGGCCGCATCTGCCGGGCCCTGGCCGGGGCCACGTCCCTGGCGCAGCTCAACCTTAACCTGGGCGTCGTGTCTAGCCCCAGCCGCATCAAGCAGCTGGCTGAGGCTCTGCGGACCAACCGCTCCATCCAGTCCCTCTTGTGAGTGCGCCCCCTCGCAAGGGGGTCCCGGGCACTGCACCCCTCCATACACGCCCCTGGCATCTCATGTTCCTCCACACTCCTTCCAGTACCATTCTACCCTCACATGCTTTATGCACATATACGGTGCCTCGGCCCATGCCTTCACAGCACCCTCCAAGCACACGCTTGGGCTTTGCACGCGCGACCCTACCCGCGTTGGGATACCTACTACTTCCTGACATTGGGTGGGGGCCGTGCCTCCCCATCTGATCATCTGCATTTACTTCACTGGGGCAGCTCCTCGGGTTCCCGAGAGAGAATATCCCCCTGGGGATGAGAGCCCTGCCCACTGCAGTATTCCAGTCCACTACTCACCTACCCCTTCTCTGCTCCTCCCTGTGCGATGTCCTGGATCCCTGCCCCAGAAAACAAACCGAATTCTCCCTCTACTTGTATTCCCTGAGAATCTAGAACTTTCCTTCTCCTTTTTCAGGCCTCTCTAGTGCTGTGACTGAGTGCCCTCCCCATATCTAGGGCTGACAGAAGTGAAAGTGCCCCTTCCCCATGTAGATAGGGTTCAGGACTGCAGTAACCCTGCTCTCTCACTCCCCACCAGCCTGCATGGGAGCCCCTTGACAGATGCGGGGCTGGCCTTGCTGAACCCAGCCCTGGCCCTCCACCCTGCCCTCGTGGCTCTGGACCTGGGGGACTGCATGCTGGGTGATGAAGCCATCAACCTCATCTGTGGTCTCCTGCCCCCAGACGGGGCCAAATCTGGTGAGCAGGGCCCTGTTGAAGGCTTGGGCTAGTGTGGCAGTGATGAAAATCGAAATGCAGAGGGAAGGGGGTGTGGCCCCAGAGCTCTGATGTTGTGGGTGAGAACGTCTTTCTACTCCTCTAAGGAAGGGGCAGGATGGGGGGCAGCATGGAGACTCAGGGATCCAGGCTGGGCAGGCAGAGGAAGCATGGGCCTCCTTAATGGTTCTTGAACTCTATGGTGGGGGTGAGGTGGTGCTTAGCCACTAGGGACACCCTGGAGACACAGGGATGGTGGGGAAGGGCTCAGGGAGGGCTTAACCCTCCTTATTCTGGTTTCTTGCTATGATGCTACCCAGGCTTGAAGGAGCTAACGCTGAGTGCCAACCCTGGCATCACCCCTAAGGGCTGGAGCCGCCTCGCCATTGCTGTGGCCCACAGCTCCCAGGTCCGCGTCCTCAATCTGGATTACAACCCCCTGGGTGAGGCTCAAGAATACCCCCTTGGGCTCTCACTGCCTCATGCGCTATCCAAGAGCCTGGGACCATCAGTTGACATGGTAACCCCTACACTGGGAGAGGAAAGAGAAAGGAGAGCCCCCAAGGGTCAAGGAGATAGCTTTGTGGAGGACCAGGTGACCAACAAATAGATCAAAGCATCAGTCGCCACCCGTGGGCCTAACTTTCTTCATGCCTTCACTCACCAATCACAATGATCCCTTCCTGACCACCACCAATTGTCCATCCTGGCCAGGGGTTAGTATCTTAAGTTGTTAAGGCAATGGGGAAGCTGTCTGTAAGGATTAGCAGGCATGTGTGTGAATGTGTGCACGTGTGTTGTCTCCCCAGGTGACCATGTGGCAGGAATGCTGGCTGTAGCTGTGGCCTCCAGTCGTACGCTAGAGGTCCTAGACTTGGAGGGCACAGGGCTCACCAACCAGTCAGCTCAGGTGGGAAGTTGTCATGTTTGGGAACGGCCAGGGGATGGGGTGGAGGTTAGCTTATGTGTCTGATGACATACCTAAGGGGTGGCAGGTTGGGGTCTGAGGACCTGCCTTAACTGTGTTCATCATTTTCCATATTCTTCCCCACCTCAGACCCTGCTGGACATGGTAGAAAATTACCCCACAGCTTTGCGGAGCCTGGTGTTGGCTGAGAACAGCATTAGCCCAGAGCTGCAGCAACAGATCTGTGACCTCCTCTCTGAGGGAGAGGAGGAGGAGGAAGTGGCAGGAGGGGCTGGCGACACCCAGGAATGGGAGAGAGGGCGGGAGCCTGCTGCCCACCAGAGGGGCAGCAGCTCCTGGATGTGTCCCAGTGGTAAGAACCCAGAGGGTTGATCAGAGCTAGGTCTGGAAGAGGCTCGGGACAAGGGAGAGTGGGTGTGGAGAACCTAGGCTTTCAGCTATCTGTGGTCCCCAGTGGAGGAAGGAATGGTGGTCTGAACACCCCTCTGCCCTTCCACAGATCCCAGCTCTCAGATGGTGCTAATGACGTCAGGACTAGGGGACAGTCTGTTGGCTGAGACCGAGATGTGACTCTCCACTGGGCCTCTGCACACCATTTCACTTGTCTATTGTCCAAGCCCCTTGCCCCAGATATCAGGCTCAGGCCTTGGGGCTTGGGAGGGAACTGGGGTCAGGGGCTACATGGGGGCTCTGGCAGCTCCTGGCAGTGTGGTGGGAAGGAAGCTCTGGAAGCCGTGACTGAGCAACAGCCTTGGGGGGGCACTTGAACCCAAGGCAATGCCTTTGAACTTGGCAGCTCTGGCTGCAACCCGCTGGCTCGGAAAAGATTTTATGAACTCCACAACCTGGCGTGCGGCTGTAGTCACTGGGGGCCGGCAGTAGGGGAGGAATTGGAACTACCAGTAAGCACCACTAGGGGGCAGTAGCATCACACAGCCCAAGCTCCAGGCTTCGTGAA